GATGAAAAGGAGGCAATGACACAACCAGTGTGGAGAAATGCAATGCATGAGGAGCTCAACTCCATAGAAAAAAATAAAACCTGGAAGCTTGTTGACCTTCCAGCAGAGAAGCATTGCATAGGAGTGAAATGGGTGTTTAAGAGGAAGCTAAATCCTGATGGGTCAGTCTCAAAGCACAAGGCAAGGCTTGTTGCAAAGGGCTTCCTTCAGAAACATGGAGTGGATTTTTCAGAGGTATTTGCCCCAGTAGCTCGAATAGAAACTGTAAGGGTGGTTATTGCAGTGGCTTGTGAGAAGAACTGGCCATTATTTCAGCTTGATGTAAAGTCTGCATTCTTACATGGACCTTTGGAAGAAGAGGTTTATGTTCATCAACCTCCAGGATTTGTGATCAAGGGGAAAGAGACGCAGGTCTACAGGTTGCAGAAGGCTTTATACGGATTGAGGCAAGCTCCCAGAGCTTGGAACAAGAAGATTAACTCATGCCTACTTGAAGTGGGGTTCACCAAATGCATTGTTGAACATGGAGTGTATGTAAGGGAAGATGAGAAGGGAAATTTGTTGATCATATGCCTCTATGTTGATGACTTACTCGTGACTGGGTCAAACATAAAGGATATTGAAAATTTTAAAAGAACAATGAAAACAAAATTTGAAATGACAGATCTTGGAAAGTTGAGCTACTTTCTAGGAATGGAGTTCACCTATACTACTGCGGGAATAATAATGCATCAAAGAAAATATGCTGGAGAGATACTGAAAAGATTCAATATGAGCTCATGCAATTCAACAATGAGTCCTATTGAAATTAATGCAAAGCTAACCAAAGATGAGTCAGGAGATGCAGTAGATAATACAAAGTTTAAGCAGATTATTGGCTCCTTGCGATACTTATGTAGTAGCGAGCACGATTTGGCTCACGGTGTAGGAATGGTGAGTAGGTTCATGAGCAGTCCGAAGAGGTCACACATGCTAGCTGCCAAGAGATTGTTAAGATACATTCAAGGCACAACAAACTATGGAATACTATTTCCTTTTGGAAAACAGAAACCAGAATTGGAACTATATGGTTATGCAGACTCAGACTACGGTGGTGATTTGGTAGAGAGGAAGAGCACTTCTGGCTACATATTTTTGCTGAATAATGCTCCTGTTTCATGGTGCTCTAAAAAGCAGTCAGTGGTAGCTCTGTCCAGTTGTGAGGCTGAGTATATAGCTGGAAGTTATGCTGCCTGTCAAGGGGTTTGGCTTGATGAATTGTTGAAGGAGTTGAAGGTCTCTACAAAGACACCTTTGGAGATAAAAATTGACAATGTTTCTGCCATAAATTTATCTAGAAATCCCGTGAGCCATGGTAGAAGCAAGCATATAGAAGTGAAATATCATTTCCTAAGAGATATGGTGAATAAGGGAAAGATTACCGTAAAATATTGCAGAACAGAAATGCAGTTGGCAGACATGTTCACTAAAGCATTAAAGATTGAGAGATTTGAAGAACTAAGAAAGAAAGTTGGAGTTGTTTCGATTAGATACTTGACTTAAGGGAGAGTATTAGATTGTAATATCTGTATAAGTCAAGTATTTCTGTTATTTCTTTTGTTTTTTACTTCCGTTATAACAACCTCATTACAATTGTTATATACTCTGTATAAAGACCTCTTAAAGATAATGACATAGTGCAGTTTTTCACAGTCTGTAATATCATTTTCTCCTGTATTTGTTCTAACAGACAATAATATATCCATTTGATAGATTTTCCATTTTCACAAACAAATTTCAAGAATTTTTCAATTCCCTTTTCGTACTCTTCACTAATACGATGTGCATTCATCCAACTCTGATTCATACCTATCTATGTTATAAATTTTCATCACTCTTAGATATTCAAACACAGATCCATATTTAAAAAGAAAGTTAATATACAAATAAAAAAAAAACATGAGATTCGAACAACTAAATTGTGATAACATAAAATTGCAGTGTATAAACTGTAAATGCACTCAAATGAATAAACGGATAATCACAAATTACAGTTCAATTTCAATAATAATTCAGTGGAGACATTCATGCAATAACGTAATTGAGATCCCAAAAAACATGCACGAATTCTATTTGAATATAAAAGATGAGACATATAACACTAACCTCAAATATATAAAAAATACTCTAAAACTCGAATCCAATTAGAGAGAAACGTCAACTACCACAAATAAGACACAATATATGTGTTTTCATCGCTCACCATAGTCGAAATGTACCCTAGAAGGAGCTAAAATGGTTGTTATCATTGTCGTCACTCAAACCCTTCACACGCGAAAGAGGAAAAAATCATGAGTAAGGTTGAAACGCTATTTTTAGATCGATTCATATCAAATCTAACATAAATTTTGTATCGTTATTTACAAAAATACCATCCCATTAATTAAGCCTCTTACAAAATAGCGCAAGGAAAACTTTTAATGAAACATGGTATGGTTATAAGCCTTTTGTTTAAAACTTCAAACTTTTTGGTTGTATTTGATGTGCCAAAGATAAAAAGAGATAATTCAGCTAAAAAGGTAGAAGCATGACTTTTCATTAACTATAACACAAAATTTAAAGCTTTAGAATATTCCAAACACAAACGTTAAAATGGGATAAGTAGAGATGTGTTGAAGATAATTAAAGAATAGATAGAAAAAATATTATTGAAAGTATGTTCATAATTTTTCTTTAAAAAAAAAGATGAAAATATTTAACCAAATTAATTTGAAAGGGGAAATGTTGTTGTATTAGAACCTATAGATTTTTTTATATATAGAAAAAGGATTCAAAGTTCATTGTTACATTAGAGAAGGAGATTAACGTGTTTGAAAATAACTAGATTGGGAATTGGTTCCTATAACCCATCATATATAAAAATGTTATTGGTGTTAAAAATAACTTTCATTCTTGATACGTAAGTTTGATTAAAAAAAAAAGGTTTTTTTAGTCTAATATATTATGAAAAAATTTAAAATGGAAAATTCTCGAGAATACTCTAATATTTTAAAAGTAAAATCTTGTACAGAAGATAATAAAAAAATAAAAAATGAATGAGACTAACTTTAGACATATTTTCCGCTACCTAATATATATTATAATAATAAGACCTTATATTATGCAAAATTGTGAATATTTTTTTCAACATTCATACATTGTTCTCATAAAATATACTTGTAAATGGCTAAATATTTGTTTAGATATGTCACATTTTTGCTTTATTGTTCAAGTATATTTAAAAATTTATTTTTCATAAATATTTAGAGGAAATTCACTTAATTAATGATAGGAAAAACACTTTAAAATTTGTTTACATTTGATTTTCGAGTACTTTTTTTTCTTCAAAGAAGCAATATATTATGGTGAATTAATATAATTTATAATAATTAAGTTTTTTTATGAGAATATTAAATACTTTAATATCAAACTATATATATATATATATATATATATATATATATATATATATATTTATTTATTTATTTTCATAAGAGATAAAACTTTATTGGAATGTTTCTAAGAGGATGACGTGAGAATTTGAGAGAAAAACTTAAAATCAATAACCATTGTCCATAAAAAAATCTGAATTAACATTTATTATTTGAGAGTTATTACAATTTATTATAATATTCCTATTCTTATGATTATATATATATATATATATATATATATATATATATATATATATATATATATAAAAGCATTAATTATTTTATTTTATTTATTTATTTTTAATAAATAAATGGAATATCTATCAAATTTTAGTTATATTTTTCTTACATTAAAGATTATAAGTGTAAGAGGATTTATTCTTAGTTTCTAAATAGTCACTTTGGAAACTTATCCTATCATCTCAATCTTTTCAGGAAATGGGAACGTTTTGGTTGATATTTTCTGTTCTTCTTTCTATTAAAAGTTTATCTTGCAACTCTCAATGGCAGTTTATACTCCTATGAAAAACATAAATGACAAATGTAAAAACTATATTCTTTGATACAATGATTTTCTTACATTTTTTTTAATTATAAAACCTTTTTATAAATTTCAATCAAGAGAAAAATGTGTTAAAATATTTATTGCTGACACTCTTGTTATTAAGGTGTTTAGAACTCGATTTAATTCTTTACTAAATAATTTGTTAAATTAAATATAAAAAATTTAGTTTAATTTTAATATAATATAAATTTTGTACCAATGTATTACAGACCAATATTTGTTGTTCAGTTTATATGTATTTTTGTGATTTTTTTTATAAAATAATTAACACAAGTTTTAAAAAAAATATTAAATATTTTACAATAAAAAATTTTAAATAGAGAGTTTTGCTGTAATTTTTTTATGAATATTCTTATTTTCATAATTTAAATTTTTATCATATTTATACGTAAATTATATAATTTTATAATTAGACATTACAATATAAAATTATTATCATATTTTAATGAATATAAATATATTATCAATTAAACGTAATTAAATTATAAAATAATATTTATTCATACATATTTATTAATTGATAATTAATTCTAAATATATAATATATTTAAATTTAGCAGATAATTTATTTTGATTTAATTCGATTTAAATATAGTAGATGAAAATTTAGTTTTCATCTATTTTCAAAAAATTTAATCAGATTTTTATTATTCATTTTATCCGATATTTTTTATCCTATCGATTTTGAGCAACCTTAGGCGTTAGTTATAATTATATTCATTAACTGTTATTAATTTAGAATATCTACAGTAATTTTAAAATAAAAATTAAGAATACATGTGGTGAGCTGCTACATACAAATAATAATATCTATTATTATACTTTTATATTGAATTTTGTATTTGTCCAAAATGATTGTCTTTAATTTTATTTGGTACTGAATACATAGCAAACCGATATTTAAAACAAAATCAGAGGTTTAATTTAGTTGATTTTTTCTGAGGGCATAATATGCAACAAACTCATGTCAGATGAGTAACTTTTCAAGCCAAGTCAACGGGTTCAATCCTCCATATATCTCTAGCATATTCGTGAATGGTCCTGTCACTGCTGAATTTGTATGAACCAGCTGTGTTCAAGATTGACATTTTTGTCCATCTCTGCACTCACACCAATCAAATATTAACGATGTGGATGATATGTTACAGTGTTTATATATCATTCCTTAATAATACTTACTTTTTGATCGCGATATGCCTTGTCAACTTCTTCTTGGCACTCCAAGTAGCTGGGGAAGTCCTTGCCAACAAGGAAATAATCAGCACGACCATACCCTTCATTCCCTTCCAAGGACCCCATCAATTCTTCGTAATTGTAGGGGCCAAAAACACCACTTCTTACATATGTCTTCACTTCTTCAAACCGTGGATCTGCTACAAACTGCACATATTTTGCATACAATAATGAGATTACAATAATTCCATTGGTTTGGACTACAATAATAATATTGTAGTAGAGTAAATTTTTAGAACATGAGGATACTGAACTTGTTTAAGCTTCTTAGTGTATCTGATACTTCAAGAAAGGAAAGAGAAAGAAAGAATTGAATGATGTATTCTTGTTTATTTTAAAATCTACCTTTCCCTCGGCTCTTTCTTTCCGTAGTCCAGCAATTTCTTCAGCCCGTGCACCAAAGAGAAAGAAGTTATCTTCTCCTATCTCTTCTCTTATTTCAACATTGGCTCCATCTAGAGTTCCTATAAGTATGCATCCATTCATTGCAAATTTCATGTTGCTAGTTCCACTGGCCTCCATCCCACCAGTGCTAAGCAGAAAAAAAATATCAAAACAAAACTGTTGAAGTTGATGATAATATCAGCCCTATAAAATGAATTCAAATTAGGACTTACAAGAACACGAAACCAACCAGTTTGATTGTAAACCAGAAGTAAAATGTTTTAATATGTACATGCTAATAAAGAAAAAGTACCTGATGTGCTGGGACAATTCACTGCCAGGAATTAGTATTTCAGCAACACTAACATTGTAATCCGGAACAAATACAACCTACATAATAGACAAAGAAAAGGATTAGTCTTACTTCATTGAAAAAAAAAAAAACAGCAAAAAAGGCTAGATAAACACTTTCTGTCCTAATCATTTTTTCTTTTCCGTGGAGACTTGGAGTGATCAACCTGAAAATTTCTAAAGACAACACATCCTTTATTTTCAATTTTGCAGTGAATCTCCTTATACTATTATCAAACCTGAAGTATCAGCACAAAACTGTTAGTTTAGTCCAATTTTTAAATGGGATATTTAATTATTTATCATGCTAAACTGAAACCAAATAACAAAATAGATAGATTTTTTCTTCCTTTGGTTAAGAGATCTTAAGACCAAGTGTGGGAGAGCAGAAGAAAGCAAAGCCAGAGTGACTCAATGGGATTCAATCCAGGAATTAACCATTTACAGAGTGGCATTCGAGATAAAGCAAAATAGATTTTTATTTAACCAACATTAGACACACACAAACCAAGGTTTTGAATGACTATAATGGACATCACACTCTGTTTAAATATCTTTCAGCCATGTTGAATCATACCTTCAAAAGATCTCCTATCTCCGGATCACGGTTGATTGTAGCTCCTACATCTGTGATGAATTTTACTATCCTTTTGGCTTGAACATATGTTGCAAATGCTTTCCCCCCAAAAATACAAACCCGAGGAACAAACATTTCTTTTCTTTCCTCAGCACTCAATTCTTTCATCTTTTTGTACCGATAAACAATTCCCATGATATTCAGTAACTGTCGTTTGTATTCGTGAATGCGCTTCACCTGAAAATGAAGATGTTAGATCTTTCTCTAACCATTAATTGAGCGAGGAAAAAACCTTCCATTAGAATTTTAACTTTTATCCCATTTGCCCAAGTAGGATTTTATGTAAGACTTCTTTTCTATTGAGCTGACACTGATTGGATTTACATTTGCAGTCTAATATTTTACCAATAACCAGATGTGATTTATTTTATTTTTGTTAATAATCACCTGTGTACTTGTGGAGAAATTATTAATCACTACATTTAGCCAGTAAAAATTGAATCCCTGCTGTCAGAGTAACATTTAAGCAAAACTTACATGGTTGATAGCAACACTCCTGTAGCATGCAAGAATCTCTCACAAAGGGTTGGTGTTATTTGTAGCAGAGGAGATTTTAGCTAACAATAGGGTTGAGGCTCTTCTCTTAAGTGAAAAAAAATTATACCCTATCAAATTAAGAGTTTCCATAATAACAGAAAAGAAGATGACTATGGTCCTACTGCCTAATAAAAAATTAACTTTCTATAAGGACACAACTTTACAAATAATGCATGCTTGGGTTGTTTTAGATTCACTGAAGCACCAAGGAAGAACTAAAAACTAACATTTATTGTTTGATCTTGACCAAATATGAACTCCAGTCCTTCAATACAAATGTTCATTAAAACAGTGGAAGAAAGAAATGAACTGGTTGGTGGCAGAAAACCAACCTGTACATCAAACATTGCGCTTGGATTGACAACATAACCCGTTTTATCTTTGAGAAATGATGCAATCTTAATCTTGTTTCTTCTTTTTGCTTCTATCCACTCTAGCTGTAGATCCTCGTTATCTGCAAACTGGTAGATAAAATTCATTAAAGAAAAGATATAGAGACTGTTAGAATATAGCGAAATATCTTATCATATGTTAGGCGAGAGGAATCATTTGATGTAAATAGGCCTTTAAGGGTCTACACTAGGAAGAATAGAAATTAACAAGTGTCAATTAGTTAGTTAGAAAGCTGTTAGAGCCATGCTGGCAGTTATTTGGGGACAGAAGAATAAATAGTTTCTTCCTCATGGAAGAAGGGAGGAGAAGATTTTGTAAAAACTGATAGTTCAGTTGTGAAAGAAAAATAATATTTTTCTTGTAATCATTTGAGAGATTTCAATACCAGTGGATTCTTTCATTCTTTTGAGTGTGTGTTGAGTGTGTATGTTGTGTTCTCTGTGAATTCTTATTCATTATAGAGTAAGGGCATACCAAGATTCATAACATCATATGCCAGATTATCCTCTATATTAGTTTCTATATTTTCCCATTATCTCTTGAGATTAGTTACCATATTTCCTTAGGAGGTTAGTGCTCTAGGTAGTATGAACATATTAATACACTGTTTCATTCTCTTAATATCAATTAGTGACTCATGCTCTTTTATATCTTCCTCCCAACAATATCTAAAATCCCATAATATCAATAAGAACAAAAAATTACCTTAGATTATGCATAGATTATGAACTAACTAACAAATCTATTACACTGCTTGCTGTCGCTATGAAGTTATTTATATGATCAGTCATGCACATATATTCATTGTTCAACTGTGGATGTTAAATCATGTCACATACAACTTATCTAATTCAAATATTAATTTACCTTGCGAAGTATAGCCAGTTTTTCAAGATCCGTTATCCAGTCTTCTGTTCCAGTCCACTTGGTTATGATTTTACTAAGATCAGGATTACAGAAACGGATCCATCTTCTAGGAGTCACCCCATTTGTTTTATTCTGGAATTTCTCGGGCCATAACTGTGAAAAGTCATATGATAATGGAATTTGATGAGAATTTTATTTTCTGGATTACATACGGAGATCCCAAGAAAGAACTTGTTCTTGAAAACAAAAAAAAGTATTTTAGTGTTACCTTGTAAAATTCATTAAAAACTTCCTCTTTTACAATCTCGGTATGTATTGCAGCTACACCATTTACAGAAAATCCACCAGCAACGCACAGATTAGCCATGCGAACCATCATTGGTAGTTTTGGATCAACTTTGAACCTCGCTTCTACTTTACTGTCCATAACCTCTTCGACAGATGAGTTTTCAGTATCTTCTTCTTGTTCCTCTTCTCCTATATCATCATCATCATCATCTTTCTCCTCTTCTTTTTCAGTTGCCTTTACATCAGTATCATCAACATCAACTTCCTTCACAGGATCAACAGCTGAAGCCTCTTCTGTGATACTAAGCAGTTCCAGCACCGAATTAGGCAACTCGATATTTTCTAGTATTCTCATTTTTTTAAGTCTTTGTTGCAACAAGTCGAGATCATCTATCCCATACTCAGAAATGATTTCATGTATCAACTGGATAGCAAAGCAAACATGCATAACATTAAGATAAGATTTCACAAAGAATGACAATCCAAAAATCAAAGCCACATTGTTTAAGAACAATACCTCCTCATCTATCTTGCTTATTATTTCCACATGTCGAGGAAGCAAACCCTGCAGAAGTGTCAAACTCCACTTCTCTAGTGCTTCCGGTAGAACTGTATGATTTGTGTAAGCAACCGTTCTAACAGAAGATTCATCAAAAGATGGGTCAGACAATGTATAAGATCAAACTAGTAGTTAATAGGAAAGTAAATCAACAAAGCACTCAATAGGTGTTAGAAATGTTATTGTTGAGAGGCTGTGAATTTTGGAGACAGGAACCTACTCTATTTGTGTAAGTTCGCACGCTGGTTCTTGGGCAATGCAGCAGAAGCAGTCTTATTAACAATATTGAAGCCAAGGATTAAAAAAGAAACTTCAACAAAAGCTTACTTTCCCTTACAAGTAAATAATGTTTTTAAACACCAATTCTCCAAAAAGCAGTATTTCCCCTTAGGAAGAGCCATTTGGCCTAAAAGCATGCACTATGACATTTGCTTGTGCTGAAATTAAACACAGTGGATGAAAATAATTGGAATAATACCATTTTAAAGACCAACTCTACCAAAAGCCTAAGCTATTAGCTTCAATTTCAACATTGATTTTATATCTTTTAAATATAGGGTGAATACAAAGGTTTTGCAAGAGGAAGCACCTCTTAGTAATATTCCATGCTTTCTCCCAATTTAAACCCTTCACATCCATCAATATCCTAATTAGCTCAGGAATGCAGAGAGTTGGGTGAGTATCATTCATTTGCACAACCACTTTATCTGGGAGAGTGTCCCAATTTACTCTCTTTCCCGATCTCTTTTCAAAGCGTGCAATGATATCCTGGAGAGAGGCAGAGCATAGTGTGTATTGTTGCTTCAGTCTCAGAGTCTTTCCTTCTGTTGATTCATCACCAGGATACAAAACATAGCAGATCTGCTTGCAATATAACAAAAAAAAATGATCATCATTGTGATTTATGCAGACAGTCTACTGAACTAAATATTAATACAAAGAAATTTATCTAACAATTAGTACATGAATTAGGGTGCAGTTTAATTGGTAACAAGGATAAACTAAACATCTGTTCATACAACAGGTATAATATTCTAAAGGTTAAAGGGATTACAAAGTACCACAGACCTTCTCTGCATTCTTCATAACAGCGTATGCTTTGGCATGATCTCCAGAATTAAAGGCTCGCAAATCAAATTCTTCCTGTGAAACTTTAGTGGACCATAATCGCAGGTTTACAGTTGTTCTAGTTTTGTATCCAGGTATTGGAACATCATAAGCAACAGCCAATATATTTTCTCCTCCAACCCACTGTTTATTTCCATTTGGCCCTAGAATAACTTCTCCATAGAATTTAACGGGATAAGAGACATCATTTCTCAGAATTTCCCAGGGATTTCCCATCTGCATAGAAACACTTCAGTCAGAGAACCAACATAAGAACTTCAAACTTGCTAATATAGCCTTTGAATCCCACAAAAGAATAATAAAACAATTGAAAAACAATGCATGCCTGACCTAATATGAAAAGTGGCTTCAAGCCATTAACTCTTAATCCATGCATATAAATAATACCTCAAGCCAATTTTCAGCAACTTCGACCTGTCCATCCTTTGTTATGTGTTGTTTGAATAAACCATACTTGTATCTAAGTCCATATCCCCATGCAGGGTAATTCAAAGTGGCCAAGGAGTCGAGAAAGCAAGAAGCAAGCCGACCTAATCCCCCATTCCCAAGGGCAGCATCTGGCTCCTGTGGATTTCACACGAATTTGCATTCAACAAAGCTTTACTCAATTATTGATAGTATGTACATAAAACTGTCGCTCCTGAAGGGTTATGTGGTTTTCTTCCACAGTTTATCACAGTATTTAAGAGTTTGTTTCCATAAAAGATATATGGTTTTTAATGTTAAACTTGATCGCTTGTTTCCTAACTGTTGGAAAGCCATTTTAATTGCGATCACTCCTTGGTACTACTTCAGCTAGTAGCCCAAACCCACATTCTAATACTAACAATATTCTTTTAAATAATCTTTTAATGATTTTGGGAATCAAACATGAAACTATTTTTATTGAATAGAGAAAACCTAGCTTATGCCTATTAATAGTTATTAAAGATACACTAACTAATAACAGCTGAAGTCCTCAAGATAATTGATGACAATTTTTGTGAAATGAACAAAAAAGTATTAGTCCTGATCAACTTGCTTTTACATGTTACCCTAGGACTAACTGACAAATAAAAATTAAATCACTTTATAGTTTCTAACAAGAGAAGAAGAAAATTGTAATATGAGTAAACCTTATTAGCCACGTCCTCTAAATTGTGACCCAACTTTCTGAGAGCCTCGGCATAAGGACCCGAGAGCTGTAAATTCCCAATTGCATTTAGCAATGCCCTACCCTTCACAGTTAGGAAAAAGGAAGATATTCATTAAAATTAATAACTAATAACCATTTATTATGAAAATGACCTCAGCCTCATTAAAGAAAACCCAGTAAGAACCTGTAGATACTCCATAGACATATAGTAAGCCTGTTTGACATTCTTCTTTTCATAGTAGTCATTTGTTGCATTCCAGTTTATGATGAGGGAATCACGAACACTCTCTGCAGTTGCAAAGAAAGCTTTATTGAGCTCAAACTTCTCTGGAGAAAATGGAGTGGTGAACTCAGCATGGAATTTGATGCTTGAAGCAATAGATGCAGAATCTGGAACAAATTCATTGAAAGTGTCTGCAAATGTTAAGAAAGAATTATTAATTATGTCCTTATTTACGGGAATAATAAAAACAGTATTCAGACCACATTACTAATAAATCTCATATTTAGTTCAATAGAAACATAAAGATGGAGAGAAAATCTGGAGCATACTTCCAAGGGACACTGCTACATTTGAATGTGATATTTCTTAGAAGTGTTTCTCGTGTTATTAATTGAATAAATAATCTCCGAATCTATTGAGGTTACCAGTAATTCCATTAAGACACGGAAATTCGGTTAGCATGAAAGGACTAGGAAAATGGAGTAACAGCACATTAGTTAGTCAAGTACCAGTCCTATACATCTCATTATACATCACTTCAATAAAATTGTAGTATGATGTTTATGGAATTTAAGCTTAAAAATATGGAAAAATGTTTTTTTATGTTCTCTGTTTGTTGCTACATTTTCTCCAGCAAACATCAAAATACGTAGAAAGGCAAAACTATATGTGATAGCAATTGGTTACGAGTCAACCAACACATTCGTGAGTTTTTCTCCTTATTGATTGATTAGCTTGCCCATTTTTGTCCAGCGTGGAATTTTCACTCCCACTTGATTTCAAACACTTCCTTTGGTGATGTACGATTCAATTTAACTCCTAAATATATGTTATAGTAAACCATCATAAGAAGCCACTATTTAGGTCAGCTATTATGTGCATTGACAGTTTAATTTGATATATACCCGAACAGTGTTACAGTTGAACATGGTCATGGTTCCCCACTTATTACTTCTAAGAACAACAATGCATCAATAATCAACTAAACCAAGCAATTTTTTCCCCATATGAAAATATTACAAAGCTAACTGAAAGTTATATAACTAAGTGCATTATAACATGAATTTCTGAATTATATATTAGAACAAAAAGAAGTGACCAAAGAAATATCACACAAAGTATTAGAAAAGGCAAGCGTGAGCAACCTTGTTCGCTGAGTGGATCTTTCAGTTCCTGCTTCTTGTCGCTGGCAACATTCTTCACATAGAGTTTTCTTACTGCCCTTCTGGAATTAGACTTTGTGATGACAATCAACTGCCAAATATTGTTTCTTTGAGTGAAGCCTATGAAGCTTGATTTTGAATTGAAACGCAAAGGTGAGTTGGAATGCCTGCAGGTTGTTGAGAAGTGTAGAGCAGCCATTGCTGCAAGGTTTTCTTAAATCAGTGCTTCAGCGTCTCCGAGAAAATAGCAACACACAGCAAAAATAATGTTAACTCAATGCTGCTTTGACTTGAGAGGATGACAAAAAATGAGTGAAAAAGGAAGTCTTTATGTGTGTGTGTGTTTGTTTCTCTGTCTTCTAATATATAATATCTTGGTAATTGTAGACAGTACTCTCATTTGAACACGAGCAGAAATATAGTGTCGCTATCCCCGTTCCCTTTCTTGACACTGGTTGGTTGGTCCACCTTCCTTTCAGGATCAAGAATCATCATGATTTAACTTCGTATAAACGAAACTAGTTAATGACCAAATTACCCCTATGATATTTCTGGGTTTCTGCCTACCACATTCAGATTTTTTTCTGAAGTAATTTTCGTCCACATTTTGATACAGCACGCTGGTTTCTTGTCCGAATATAGCCATGGACTGCAACGCAATATTGCTATCCCTAACTTAATATCCTACACATGACAAACAAGATTTGTCACGCAGTGCTAATTGCCCATAATGAACAATTGATTCGAGTTTGAACCTATAAATTTTTCTTGATTGAAGAGTTGCGTAATGTATGTCGTATGTTCATTGAAACCATAGGCTTGCTTGGCTTTCAAGAGGAGCAGCCATCTCTCCTTTTAAGTTTGTGTCAGAGAAGAACACTTTTTTGTAGATCAAATTGGATATTTCCTATTGGGACATCAAAGTTCGTGTATCAATAGTACACTCATATGTAACACTTTTTTTTTACTATTACAATAGTATGGTCTCACCCGACCAATAACACTACGTTGTATAATGTACAAAATCACAAGGGTCCTATAAGAAAGGCCATGGATGGCATAATTTAGAAAGAAAATAATGCATATATACAAAGACAAGTCCTCAGGTACATGGGGCGACAACTTAGTTGTCTAAAACAAAAGAGTGGAAATCTCATTTCGTTTTTCTTTGCTGTGAACCTTCATGACCTACTTAAAAAGGTGATAAACATTAATAAACAGATAAAGTCTCCTCAGTCTTCACTGGAGTCCAATTGCTCCTGGCCTTGTCAGACTTCTTTTTGGCACTTGTAACGAAACCAAGAACGTAACCCATGAATGCCCCAAGCAACAGCACACTTCCTCCCTTCACATACCATGACAATGTGGATTCCACAATCTTATATTCAGGTTCAGAATTTACAACAATACTACAGTTTCCATTACCAATGATAACTTCCCCAGATGCCAGAATTTCCACCATGTCATGCACCACACCGTCATGGTTTCCCACATAAGAAAGCACAAGCTTCTGCTTTGTAGCCACCAGTCTTGTGTACCCAAACTCGCCCCCACGGTACAGGGACCATTTCGGCTGTGGAAAGATTGGGTCATCGGGATGGTCCGCTCTTGGTTGCCACGTGGGTTGCCAGTCTTGCCCTGCCATGCCAATCACAATATGAACAGTATATCCTTTATCGTCCCCTGCTCTCTGACCCACATTATCACCACATGTGAAGTTATTCAGCGCACAAAATCTCTCATATCTATGAACATGACCCCAAAGGGCAAGTGAGACATTGTTATTCACCAACAGAGGTTCCAAGTGCTCCAGCATCTTCGCTCTTAAAGCAGCATCCCTATTTTCATGACTGGTAGTGTACATGGGTCTGTGTCCTTGCACTACCACAAACGGAGTTTTGTTCCTGTCAACTGATTCCAGATCATGCTTCAAGAAGTTGTACTGATTGCTCCCGGGAAGGAAATTGGTCTCTGTGGAAATATACACAAAGTGTACTGCTCCCATATCAAATGAGTAATAAAGATTCTTAGTTGGTGGGGCTGCAGTTCCAGTTGATTCTGAAGAGTTTCCAGGCATGTTGAACCTCAAACTGTAAGGCACACCACACTCACCACCCCCATCTTTTCCATAACTGGCCCAATCGGGTTTCCACGGCTGCAAAGGCCAGTTATACTCGTGATTGCCAATGCAAACATGGTAAGCCACTTTGGACGCGACAGGCTCAATCTGGCTGAAAAATTGGTCCCACAACCAGGAATAACCTCTTGCATAACTAATGTCTCCGATGTGCGACACAAAGGCTGGCTTGTCCCCTAGAGCTTCAACATCACGGAGGATCCACTTCATGGTAGATATGCTTTCTTCCTGTGTTCGCAGAAACGTATTATATGGTACAGTTGTTCCCATGTCACCAAACAGGAAAGCAATTGTTTCATCTGAATCACTGTTCCTTGACACAAAACTATGAGTTGCAGTCCAACCTCCATTATCATTCCCAACCTGGCACATATTAAATCCATACAGTTAACATCTCAAATTTCTACATTCATGAAGGCTATGGGACAAAACATCCCCGAAATTGACTAACAACAGGCAATTCCGTCCTAACAAACCAAAATGGGTGTTGGCAAAAATTATCCTAAACACGTATTCAACATTCTTTTATCAATCCAATAAAAACTCATTCACCTGTGAAACCATGAAACATACTGACTCATTTTAATATGGTATTTAGTTTTGAATTTAATGGATATGTTCTCTCAATGTAAAAAGTTTTAACAATGTCAATTAATCAAATATCATTTACAAACTTTAAAAAAATAATACGGTGTATTCATGGATTTTTCCAATATCTTAGACATTGTCACGAATAATAAATTTGTTAGTTATTACAATAATTACTTCAAAATCCCTATACTTAATTTGATTTCTGATTGATAGATAGCATCAAATATTTTAGCCAACGGTGTACAATAGTTGATCTCTAATTTTTAAAGTAATAATTATAAGGTTGGTATAAAATATGAAAGGCTGTTTTACATTGATGCATACTAGATAACTCTATATCAATGTCACAGAAGTAATTATGATCATACAAGATAACATAACAAAGTTGATGAAAGAGATTACATTGATTCATTTTTAAAAAAAAAATCTAATTAACATTGAAAGTAAGACAAAGTTAAAAAAAATGGATAAAAAAACTATTTAGAGTTATTCATTCTTCCATTTATGTGTTGTTAAACTTAACAGTGGGAATTGCTTTTACACTAACTTCCAAATTCTTAATCGCTACATCATATTAATGAGCAGAACCAGCGGGTAAAGTGACGAAACCATATTAAAGTAGTGTGAAATGCTTTTACTTATGGTGCAAGAAAGCAAACTCTTTAAAACAAATTAGAGCTTATTACAAGGGCCAAAACCTCGTTCACATAAACAAGCCCTTTCAAATGCAGTACCTAGGCGGTTAACAAAGTAGGGTAGAGCATAGGTTAGCCTTAGGGCCAAATCAATAAAAACTTAAGAGCAGCACCCAGTTTTTTACCACATTCTGCAACCAATATTCATAAGAGCGAAATGTCAAATAGGTTTATCTGTATGGATCAATGGTATTTTAATCACCAAAATATAAATCAGTAAATGTATAAAAAATAGAACAAGAACGTTTTATTTCGTTAAGGTTTACGGAATAATCTTATCGTTAAGCTAATACTAAGCTGTGTTTTTTTCAAAGATCAATTTGATACTAAGATACAAAGTTTCAGAGTCCAAAGCGTCTTTATGTTGTCATACAACTTGATGTAACTTAAACTGTGGCAATTTCGCATTTACCTTATAAGTTACGTACCTTGTAGTAATACCTCTGTCCCTTCTTCAAATTCGTAAGAAGCGCGTTGTGGATATAACCAGGGTCTCTCCACCCAACGCTGGTGTTGGCGGGAGCGTCGCACATGTGCTCCCTCTCATATCGCTCCACACGCGCGAGTGCGACGCCGTCGAGCGCGTGTTCCTTCTCCCCGTAGCGCACGTAGGTCTCCTTGGGGTTGGGCGAGACGTACATGACGCGCATGGCGTCGTCTTGGTCCGCGAAGGCCAGGTGGATTTGTCCGGGGCCACGGTCCGGGGCGAAGGCTACCTCGCCGGTGAACGCGAGAAGGTGGTGCGTGGCGGGGAGGGGGTTGTGGTCGTGGTCCTGGCGCTTGGGGTTGATTTCGGCTCGGGTCCAGCGGAAGATCCGGAAGGAGTAGCCGGCGCGGAGATCGATGAGAGGGAGGGAGATGCTGCCCGACCCGGTTTCCCAGGAGGCAGATTGGGAGAGGAAACGGTAGCCGATGTAGTTGTCGTGGGGGGAGGTCGGAGGGGAGTAGATGGCGAGGAAATCGAGGTCGGAGGGGGCTTCGATGCCGGACCATTGGACGTGGACGAAGTCGCCGGATTTTGAGAGCGTGGTGGGGGTGACGGAGATGGAGGGTTTGGAGTGGGCGCAGGGAGAGTGGAAGTGGAGGAAGATGAAGAAGGAGAGGAGGAAGGGGAGTGTGGCATGATCGGAAATCATGGTGGTTGGATGAATTTGAATATGGATTTGAATTTTTAGATTTTGATATTGGATATGCCAACGAACTACTCTTCTTGGAACCGGGTTAGGGGGACTGAAAAGCATCGTTTTTGCATTTAAATGGCATATTCCATCTTTCTATCTTCCTTCGCTTAAGCCACTCTTCACTTCCTGCAGAATTTTCTCAGATTTTTTTTTTTTTTTTTACTCCCACTCTACATGGCATATAACTTCTCCATATATAATTTATTATTCGTTCAAAAATATAATAAGCATAAACTTAAATTTATTTTTAGTCTCACTAAATGTTATCATATTTGAAATCAAAATATTTCATGTTTTTTTTTTACTTTTATTTAGTGTATTTTTTAAGTAAAGTATTAGAAGATGATAAAAAAATAAAATTGAATTGTGACAATTATGTTATTTTTAACTACATCATTCCTTTGAGTAATGTATTTGTTATCTTCTATATATAAAATAATTTAATATTTTTTTGTCATAAAATTTTTTTTTGTCAAATAACCATTATCTTTTTGCTATTAAATTTATCATTTTAAAAAAATTACATAAAAAAATTATGTTACCTAATAAATTATATGTAAAGAAAGAAGAGTAATAAAACATTTTAATATAGGATTAAATAAATTTTTTAGTTATTTAAAAAAAATTACAACTTTTGTCTTATTAATTGTTTGTCAACATTTTTGAGACATTCTGATTGAACCATATTTGTATAAAAGCAATTATTTTTTATCTATATTTATTTCATAATGTCGTTTTTTTCTACTTCTATAATAGAATTATAAAATACTTATATAAGATATTTCAACTCTAAAATTAAAATATAGTAATTACAAATTCTAAATGTGTATTAATTTAGTACATATGTTTAGAATTCTTTTATATTTATATCTTTATTTCTAAACTTAAACTATGAACAATAACATTTTAATTTATGATTTAAAGATTAATAATATTATTTTATTTCTTAGTTATTGATTTGAAAGCTTTAATTATAGGTTTTTTATTTAGTTATGGATTATATTTATATCTGGATGATTAAGTTTGGTACTATTTATTGACTAGTTTTTTAAAAATTGTGAAATATTTTTTTATAAAAAAATTGTTAACAATTTTTAATGAAAAAATCTTATATAAAAAGATATATTATAAAAAAATTATATAATTATAGTTATAACAATAAATTTAATATGCATAAATAAATTATATAGTTTTATAATAAAAAATTGTTATCATATTTTTAGTAAACATAAATATATTTTTAAAATAAAAATATAATTAAATTTTAAACACAATCATTGAGAAATATTTTATGTATGCTTATTAATCGAGAATTAAACTTGTAAGAAATTAATAGTTTTTCTTTTACCTGATATTAATGGAGTTAAAAATTGTAAGAAATTACCTGATATTAATGGAGTTAAAAAAATTACATTCATATCATATTTACATTATATCAATGGACTTAAAAAAATTGAATAAAAAAACATCCTTTCATCATTTCATGTCACACAATGACAACAGATAAGATAGTTAGAATATATACCTTTGGAGCCAAGCTCATATCCTAATACTGGGGCTTCAATAATTCTATTGTACCACCTTATTCACACAGATCGTCAAGTGTTTAGCTTCTATTACAATTAATTGATTTTTTGAGTAAATGATGGAAGAGAGATTTTTTCAACTTTCTTTTTGTTTTTATTAACCGGAATGATAATATATATTAAAATGTTATAAGATTTTTATATTATGATATTATTAAAATTATCACTTAGATTAGAGTTAAAATTAAAAATAATTTATATATACAATTTTTTAATTTATGATTTATTAAAATATTTTTTAAGAATAAAACTATAACGATGATTTGATTCGTAAACGAAACATCGACTTTCGAGAAAAAAATAAAAAAATTTGTCCATAAGTCTATATGCACTATTATTAGTAGTTGATGAAAAACCTATTTCACTCGAACAGTTTTCACAAATACAAATCTCTGAAGTTTGGAATTACACTTTAACAAAAATGATTCATCCTAAAATACCATTTCGTATTCCAGATTCGACATTCCACTCCCCTGTTTCTGCCATCTGAGGTGTTGACAAAGGAGGCACGAACATTTGAATTCGATGTCAGGTACTCCCAAGGAGAGCACGGAGTTATACATGCGCAAGCGCATATGCCCCAACCCAACACTTGCATATAAACTTCGTGACTCATTTGATGAGAGATGGTGATTGCTGACAAAACACCATTAATTGGAGAGTTGAGGGTGAGGCCCCCCTCCATTTTCAAAGCAATTATATCACTTCATGTGTCTCTTGCTTTGCATTTAAACAATCACACATACACACAGTGACTTGGCTAATGTCACCACCTCACCCCCTTCTTCTTCCCTCTCTTTTTCCCATCACTTTCTCACCCTTCCCTACCCTATCTCTATCTCCACAACACCATCACACTTTTCTCCTCCCCTTCCTCTGTCTTTTCACCATGAAGACCTCTCTTTCTGCACTCACCATCATCATTCTCTCTCTCTTCTTTCTCTCCTCAGCAAATTCCACACTTACCACCCCACCACCTCAATCTTCCTCAACAACCACCCGCTATTGCGATTCGTTCCCCCACGCAAGGCCACGTTCCTTGTGCATTGGCCTTCAAAGAATGCACCGCCATTACTCGCGTCCACTCCCACCCCATCTTGATCCAAGGTTCGGCGCAGAGAAGAGGCGAGTTCCCACTGGGCCCAACCCTCTTCACAACTAATTCAACCAATTCCAAACCCAGTTCACTCCTACTACTACCACTATAGCACTTCACATACACTAAGGTATCTTTAATTTCCACCTACAATTTCAATTTGACCACACCCTTTTAACATAGACAAATCAAACCCCATTTGGTTGTTTCTTCACATTTCGTTACCACCCATCACCACCTTTCTTCATGTTATTCTCACGGGTCAATAGTACTACTATCCATAAACCACCCATCAACGCAAGAAGAATGATTATACATCAATGGCTGCTTAGAGCTACCACATCATGCAGAAAGACACGATCTTCGGCAAAACGGCTCCCCTTTAGCTTATATTCCTCCATCTTTCTTCAGTTCTTGACATGTTCAATCTTTTTCTTAATTTGAGCTTTACCTTTTCTTTAATTTTATGTAACCAAACCGGTATCACGTTAACCACCGAGTGTGCTGGAGTTAGCTGACACGAGATTGCTTCAGTTCAATCGCTCTTACATGTTTTCAAGAGGATTTTGTTCGCCTATAATGTTATGAATGGATGGAACAAGATAACTCTTAGGAAAATAGGCTTGGTTAGTGAAAAAAAAATAAGGGGTATGTATGGTATAAAGTTAGAGTTTGTGTTGACGAGTGTTACTTTTGTGTGGGGCAACGAACTCCATTTCCATGTTTGTTTTTGGCATTTGGATCTTGCAAGTTGGAGCTGGCGAAGGTGGTAAATACACGGACAGAGCGTGAGAGAGAGTTTGAAGAAAGAAGAGATGAATCTGAAAACAAGCATGGAAATGGTAAGAGAATATGGTTGGGAGGGGAATTGAGTTGGACCCACGAGTTTCATTAATGTGGAGCCACGAAAATAGCAGGGTGCATCCATTTATGACTTCTGCACCAGTTCTTGAGGTCAGAATTTGCTCATTCTTCGTGCCTTCTCAGTCAACCACCATTTTTTTTCTTTTCATCTTAGATATTTATGTTCATGTATAGTTTGGAGTTGCTCTTTCAATTTAATTCAATCAATGATAATGAATATATATATGAGACGGATACTGTGTTGCTTTTCTTCTTGCTTTTTTTAATTCGACACCATTCTTTATGTAATCCTGTTCATTATCAACATTTTCTTGTTTTTAAATTACTGCATGAATTTAACATGAAACAAAATTTACGACATTTAATGAAACAAATTTTCAAAAAATACCATGCACTAAATTCAATAAGAAAATATTAAAATTTAAGATAAAACCTTTATATAATTTTTAAAATTAACCACTTAACAAGCATTTATAATAATATAATTTTCATTTAACAATCCACTTAGATATAATTATATTATTATATGTAAATTGTTAATTGGTTGTTTTTAATATTGAATTATCAAATATCATTATCCTTAAATTAATTAAATTTAGACCACTTATTTAACAGGTTCTTATTATAAAATAAAAAACCGTTTGTGAAGGGAAAATAAATTTTGAATATACATAGAAAAGTAGATAAAAAATGAATAAGTGTTATAATGTTTTTTACCTTAATATAAATGAATGGAATCAGATGGACCCTACATCATAAATAGATTAATACAATAAAAATAAGTGAAGTGCTTTTCTCAAAATTTAAGCTTTATGAAAAAAAGTAAACTTTCTTGCCATTAAGTCTCATACTAACTAGTTTTCCTTTCTTCCATTTCGTGTCTGCAACCAAACTAGCAAAATATTTAGTATATTTTCCCTCTTCTTTTTTCTCTCCATCAAATTTCTCACCTTTTTTTTTTCTTGAAACATGTTATTTATTTCAATAACTTCAATCCGTTAATTTATACCAATAATGCTAAGATAGGATATTATGATTCAGTTTTGTATAATTGGTTTAATAAACATTTATGATAAAAAAAAGGAAGAAGTAAAGTTAATCAGAATTTTTACATAATTATATATATCCTCCACCTCAACTTTCGAGAAATTTATTATCAATTTTTTTTAAAAATGTAAAACTTCAAAACACTTGAACATTTTTATCTTGTTGTTTCATTAATATATATATTAAAAACATTGGAACAATCTTGTGATCTCTCAATTGGTCAAACCTGAAATTAATATATAGGTGGAAAGGTTGAGCTCATGTATGCATGCCTTCAATAGGACTAACTTTTTGCAAGCATTGGTAAATGCATTTATTTGTTGTATTGCATCTCCATCACCCACTTTTTATGAAAAAGTCACCAGCACACACAGCAGCTTTAATATTTAGATTCTTTTTATTCTATCATCTATGTTATCTTATATATCTTTTTTCTTTTCTTCTTACTCTAATCCCACTATTTCTACATATATCGCAGTAGAAAAATGAAGGAAAAAGTGACCCCTTAAAATATTTCACAGGCACAACATAGTTATATAAGGAATTCATAAAGATCCATTGATTCTCTCTCTCGCCATACACAGATGCTAAAGATATTATGAAACGAGTAGTTGTTCATACTTTTTCCTTTGGAACTTCCACATGCTGATGCATTAAATGTTCAAATCCATACAATTCATTTAAAGAAAAAAAAAAACTATACAATTTTTCTGTGAGAAATATTTAGAAAATGTGGTAAAAAAGGCCAGGTTAGATCCCATGCTTAATGCTAAGTTTCCGAAGAAGAAAAGAATACCTGTCTTCCCCCACAAGGCACTTCATTGAGTTCCAAACCAGAGAACACATGCAAAGTATATTTAACCTTGCTTGCCCTCCAACCCCAGATCACAGACTATGACCATAATCCAGAATAAAAAGGTTCTCCTTAAATTTATAGGTTTCTTCCCTTTCAAATAAGCACCAACCACTTATTAGTTGATCACAAAGCATTGCTAATAAAAGGGAAGTAAAAGATCAGAAAAAGTTCTTCCTGTATAATGGAAACTTTGATGAAGCAAATAAGGTTAGCCATTCTTGCCTTTCCCTTGTAGAAATGATGGATGTAGCATGGATCATTTATTGTAGCTTCCACAACGAATTAATCATGTTAATTACTTCTGTTTCCATAAACAACAACGAAATACCATGCAGTTGTGCTTAAAAGGTAGAGTTGTTAATGGTATCAAGGCCAGTATGCAATATTTGACCATCAATCATTTTGTAAACCTAGTGTCAGATCAAGGACATCATTCCTTGTGGAAATTAATTAAAATATGATTCAGAAAGGTTATATATTCATAACATTATCGTAGTTCATTTCTATTCTACACAATCTTTTTCACTTACTAGAGATCTTTTAACTAACAAAAATTGCTGTCTAAAGTAGTGTGTTTTGTTCCATGAATATTGTTTTTGTGCTGAAAATTTTTTGCTAGAGTGAAATTAACTGGTGCAGAGGAGGAGAATAAAGGTGATCTGGGTGGCAGCAGGGATCAGAAAGTTACAACACAGAGAACCCCATCATCCAAAGGTGATGTAAATTTTCCCATGCAGGGCTTTAAAAATATAATATATATTAAACAAAAAAAAACAAAAGGAAGGAGCTGAGAATTTGGGATGAACAAAATTAGAGTTTTGACATGCATGTTTTATCTATCTTCAGAAAAACTTTTGTTGTTCAGTTTCATATTTCATGCTACAATAAAAATGATTTGTATGTATTTTTGTGTGGAGTTTTTTATATTATCAAACAAATCGTGATTGTTCTTACCTGAACAATGATAATATATTTTAAAACTCATTTCTTTCTACTTCTTGTGGCTGATAAATGAATTAGCTAATATGTTAATTAACAAACTCAAGTGAAACATTCCCACAGATAAGAAAAAGGTCCAGAATTGGTTCCAGAGACAGGTTTCAAGAAACATGAGTCATGATTATGACAGAGAAATGGAGCATGCCACAGCAGTAGCTGCTGCTGCATTTGCAATTTTTTCACAAGAGGTTTCACCAATTCCACAGCAGAAGAAAATGAGGGAGACAACTTTGAACAGGGGCAAAAGCAAGGTGGATGACACAAACCCTCCATCTTCTCAGTTTGGTAGCACATCCAGACACTTCTCAGGTATATACAGTACTTAAAAATCATTACGTTGACCTAATTTATTTAAAATAAGACTTTTAATATTTTATTGAAAACTAACTGAACGGCGAAAACTCATTTTGAAATGGGGAAACATATAATATAATAATTTACATTTACACGCTCTTGGACAAAAATTATGGTGAATTGCATATGCAATGCTTCACATGCATGAAGCTTCATTTAAATCCCCAACTGACCAAAGTAAAAATGGTACAGTGGATGTAAAGAGGCCTGAAAAAGGCCTGAACCCAGCATCATCAATGAGAAGGAGTTCAAGTTTTGGTGAACAGTTAAGGAGTAACACTGATGGTAAAAAACCAGAGATCCAAGTCCCAAAAAGGACTCGAACTTTTGGTGATGAGAACTTGGTGAACACAGGTGAAGTAAAACCTGAGACCCCACAGCCAAAAATTCCTCCACCGGTTTATCATCAGCCAGAACCTTTAAGGCCACCGCCGCCACCACCACCACCGATCAGGCAGACTTCAGCAAGATCAGGCATCAATGAAACAAAAGCACATGCTTGGGAGAGAGAGGAGCAGGAAAAGATCAAAGAAAGGTATATACTTGTCACTGTAGGATCTACATGATTTTGACTTTCAAAAGAGAAAAGAAAATCCATGATGTCCTTTAACATTAAATTCAAATAGTAAATAAGATAGAGAAAATTATGTAAGGTGATTTTGCATTGCTTCAATGCATAATTATCAGGTACGAGAAGTTGTTGGAAACAATAGATTCATGGGAAAAAAGGAAGAAGGTGAAAGCAATACGCAAGCTAAATAAACTTCAGGTGAGGTTTCTCCGCATCACAACAATGCATCCATGTCTAGTTAAAACTATATCATACACTGTTCTTGCATTATAATTTGGAAATGTAAGTTGAATATAAACATTTGAAGTGTTAAATTATCCATGCAGCATAGTGACAGTGAGAGGAAAAGGGCGAAAGCGTTGAAGAAATATCAAGAGAATATGGAGTATATAAATCAGATTGCAGGGGGAGCCAGAGCCCAAGCAGAGGAAAGAAGAAGGAATGAAGTGCTGAAAGCAAAAGAGAAAGCAAATATAATTAGAACAACAGGGAAGGTTCCAGGGCCATGTTCCTGTTTCTAACAAAACCAGTTATATTTATGCGTTTATATTGCATAACATCACTAAGTTTGGGTATAACAAAAAGGATTATGTAATTATTTGTTTCGCACTCGTGTGATTTCTAACTGTACAACTCTCAGTATTCATTTGTAGAGGGGTAATCTAACATTCTACATGAAAAAGAATATGTAAAACACAACACAACACACATGGGCTAATTTTGTTCATTTTTAATACATTCTTGTAGGTGGAAGTCTTTATCAAAGTAATTAAGGAGTTATTGAGATGAAATTTCATAAGCGGTTAAAGATCTTGCCTAGTTTAAAATCGTATAATAATGATTAGATAATTAAACGTATCTCTTATGTATGAATAAATTCACTGTGTTTCTCTTTTCCTTCCTTTCCTTTGCATATTTGATTTTTAAGGTAACCTAAATGTCTTCTAAAATAGAAGATAAATTAATACTACCTTAATATTTCTCTTAAAAATCAAACAAATTTCTTAAATATTTTATCTTTAATTCAAAGTAAGTATCTCCTCCAATTTTGAAAATTATTCAAAATTAATTCACTAAATTTAGTCTCTGTTTATAATATCGAGTGTGCTTTCAATATAAAGAACACGATTACTTTTAAAAAACATAAAATAAAAATGTTTATTTTTAAATTAAAGAAAGTGTAAGAATATTATGCAGTATAACTTTATGGAAAATAGATGTAATTTTCATAGAATATGCTGCGTACATGAGGGAGACAATATAGTTATAATATTATTTTTAAAAATATAATCTTTTTAGTCAATTATAATCTACCAACTGATCATAACCTAGGAGATTTTATTATAAACATTTTTTTTGCCATTTGAAAAATATAAAATAATTATTATAATTATATTTTACAAAGTGGATATATATTTAAAAAATGAAAAAAATAATTATAAAAAATATATAAAAACTGAGACACTTGGATTTTCACGGGTGAAAGATAAAGAGTTTCTAAACGTCCTATCCAATCATTATGTTTAGTGAATTTAAATATAGATAAATTTAAGTAATTTTATCATAATTTTATTTAATCACTCATTTTTTATAGAAAAATAATATTTGCCAATCTAAATCCATACAACTTTATTTTAATATTATAATAATAATTTTATTTTATTTTTATTTTTATTAAATCAATTTATAAATTATTATATTAATATTATAATAATAGTTTTATTTTATTTTTATTTTTATTAAATTAATTTATAAATTATTATATTAATAAATTATTACAAGTTTTAATATTATAATAATAGTTTTATTTTATTTTTATTTTTATTAAATCAATTTATAAATTATTATATTAATAAATTATTATATTAATATTATAATAATAATTTTATTTTATTATTATTTTTATTATATTAATAAATTATTATATTAATAAAAATGAATTATTTGAACTATCTCTGTTTTAATATTATAATAATAATTTTATTTTATTTTTATTTTTATTAAATCCGTTTATAGATTATTAATATTTTTTTTATATTATCAAAACCTAATGATTAGCATTAGAAAGAAAATAGTTTTTTTATTAAGAGTAATAAAAATAAGTGATAATAACTAAACTTCCTGATTAATATAAAATTAGTCATTTTACTTTTATATATATATATATATATATATATATATAATAAAATGCAGACAAGAATCTGAGATCCTAATGGGAGAAAGGTAAATTTTGAAGAATCTGGAAAAGAAGAAAACCTACACGATTCCGCGATAACATATACACAAGACAAGGGAAATAAATACATAGAAAGAGAAAAGGTCTTCTTCTACAAATACCAGATCATATCATGTTTATTCAATCTTACATCATACAACAACAACAACAACTCTAAAGAGTGAGAAACTTAAAGACCTTCATCTTCTTCTAGTTCTTCTAGTACTACTATTTGAAGAAGCCTCCAGCCAAGTTTGCAAGACCACCCAAGCCAGAACCTTCTTCAGCTTTGGAGTCTGCAGGTTGAGAAGGTTGAGAAGGTGCAGCAGCCTTGTCCGGGTACTGGTGCAGATAATCGGCAGCTTTGTCCAAGTACTGCCCTATGCCCTTCTGCTCGTCCAGTTTCCCATACTTCGCCGCCGCGTCCAGAAGGTCCCCCGCCGCGTCGGCCACCTTCGCCTTGTCCACCTTGTCGCTTTCGTTCCGGAAAGTGGACTGCGCCGCGTCCGCCACCAGCTTCGCGCTCGCCAGAAGCTCGCTGCTCGACTGGTCGGCGGTCGCTTTGTTCTGGGTTTCCTCCGAAGCCATTGTCTCGTTGCTTCTTCTCTGATAACTGTTTGTGGGGGGTTTTATAGTGAGTGGGGAAAGATTTTGTGAAAGAAATATCTCCGGAATTTGTGGTTCCAGATTCGTGGGTCCGTCTTATCTGTTACCTGTCGTATGCCACTGTTTCCTCTCGGTGTCGGCAAACTCTGTCGGTGTTACATCTGTTGTTTGTGTTTAGGTAGAAAATAAATTACATGGATTAATGATATATAGAAAATTCGAATGGAAGTGTATAATAAATATCATAAAAAATTGAAATATTTAATATAAGTTGTGTTCTGAAATAGTTTATATAAATAAAAACTTTGTATACTAGTATGCGAAAATCAAACGAAAAATAGAAAAAGGACCATGATTTACATTGATCCATAATTTTAAAATTAATTAATTGTTTGATAAAATAATATTTTACTTAAAAAAAGTATTATAAAGGTACAAAATACCCATCAAAGAATAAAAATGTATAAATATTAATGGCTACATACTATTTATTTTAATGTAATAAAGGATTTATTTTTAAATGACATTTGGTGTGAATAATATTTTTTTATATTTCTGAAGCTTGTCATAGACATAAATGTTTCACACGTATTTGACAAACCATCATTGTTCAATATGTAATAATCATATAATTCTATACAAACTGAAATACCTTATTAAAAAAAAAAATCTGAATGGACTAAATTTTTTGTTTTTTGTTTTACTGTATTAATAACCAATTCAATTGAAAATAAATTTGTATACGTGTCATAAATTTATAATATCTCAAATATTTATATTTAATAAATTATCACATAAATATACTATTTACAAAAGAAATATATGCATATTAATATAATTATCAAAATGTATTAATTCGGGTTTTAGAAGACATGTATTTAGAATTTTTAACTATTATCAGTTATATAATAACAAATAAATAAAATATTTGATATTTTGAATTATTTTACTATTTTTATTATATGTCTTACTATTTATTTAATATTTTTTAAAAACATAAAATAAGATTAAAATGGAAAACCTATTCAATTCTACCCGCTTTAAATTAGGTGAGATTGCATTAAATTAAAATTTTAAACTAAATCAATTGAACAAGGATTTAAACTCTACTAATTCGTGAACACTCTTCTCACAGCATATGATAAACTCTACTAAATTTGATTTGCTAGAAATGTTTCATGAGATTTTGTTTTTAATTTTTTACAGAATGTAGTGAGACTTGATATTCTAATCCAAATTTTCCTTAAACAGATGAGTTTAATTTTATTAATTATAATTAATTATATATATATATATATATTTACCAAAAATGAAATTCATTTTATTTTTTAAAAATGTTAAGTAATCAATATTTTTACCTGATTTTTTTCCATTTTTTAATTGTTAAATTCTTTTTTTTTTCATTTTTTATTCTCTTTATAATTAGATTACACAGTAATCAAAACTTTTTATTATTTTCTGACAATTGAAAATGAAATAAAAAGGAAATGTCAGTGGAAAGAAAAGGAGGGTGAAGAGCTGAAATATTATTCATCCTCTTTCTTCTATCAGACTGAAGATTTTCACAAATTCAATTGTTCAATGCTCAATATTCGTGTCATCCTCACCAAGATCTCAATTACCTAGACGTAAACTGTCACAAACGACAACTCAATCATTCTTTTTTTACTTTTATTTTCCATTTGTCGTAAAACACATAAGCTTTTGCATTTCCAAGCTCATTTTAACAGCGACCAACCCACCAATCATAATCCTTGGATTTCTCAATAATCCCAAACAAAACTGAATTTCGAGGAACTCTTTTTCCACACTCCGTAATCACAGCTGCAGATTCTTCTCGTCAGTTTCGGGTTTCACTTTCTTCCCTCTCCTTTTATCCCAAATTAGGGCTCTGATTATAAGTAATTTTCCGTCTGTGGTGCTTTACATTTTGGGTAGTCTTTCAAATTTAGGCTGGAATACTTTTGTGATTTTATGTTTGAAATGAAACTTCTGGTTACTGATTGCGTTGCTTATAGTATCTCTTGATCATACTTCTGGTTATTAGTGTAAGTAGTTCTAGTTTATATCAGATAAGGTTATTCATGACAGCTGAATTTTGAATGTTTTACCTTATTGATTTATGTAGCATAGTGATTGTGTAAGGTCAACAGAGGGATTAGTGCTGTAGATAGTAGTCCCTGAAATGTATATGCCTGTGGCTACCTCAGCCACACCGCGGGGTGGATTGCCTGCTGACAGTGGGGACTCTGTTGTGGCATTAGCTCAAGTTCCGCGATGGAATGATGCTGATCAGTGCCTGGGGTTTGAAACCTCATTTTCTAGTTCACATTTTCCTGATCCTCTAGCGTTGCCCTTGGGATCAGACAGTGGTGATGGCAGCGAGTCAGTGTCGAAATTTCCGGTTGACCGTGAAGTCAATTCAAAGATATATTTGTGGCGGGGGAATCCCTGGAATCTTGAAGTAGATGCGGTGGTAAATTCAACAAATGAGGTGAGCACTATACGGCTTTGTTTTAGTATTGTCGGGTTGTTTGAGGTTTCAGCCACTAGTATACTTTTATATGTTGTTGTTTTCTATCTTGTCACTATGATTTGTTGAACCTTATGATAGAACTCACTCTCATGTGATTATTCCTTCCTTTTTGTTTAGTATTGTTGTTTTGTTTAGGTTTCCTTCATTTTATGTTATATCTGTATGTTTCACCATTGTATTGTTTTCAATCCTTTTATTATAAAATTATAAATTTTTTCTACTGGCTGAAGTTACCTCCCAAACTGTTGAGAGAAATGAAAACTCTGTATGATAGATAGTTAACTGTGTAGTCAGTATAACTGTTTTAGTTAGTATAACTGAAGAATTTTTTATAAAATTGTAATACAGAGTAATTTATATCTTTTATTCTATTAGCTCTCAAAATTCTTCCTCTTCCATATTATAACTTTTTGAAAGCTTTTTTAATTTATTTAACTTTTCCCTCTCTCTTTTTTTTTTTCCCTCTCTTCTCTTCCCTTCAATTTTCCTCCACCCAAAATTACCTAAGCATGGCACCACCATAATTTTCCCTCTCAAAAATTCTCTTACACGCTTGCAAATTTCCCACCACCCACTAATACCCCCAACCCAATCACAATTCCCCCATCAAACCAATTTCCCCATACACAACTTGTCTTCTCTGTCCCTTGCACTACAAACAGACGATCACTCGAGATGGGTAAGTTGCTGGAAGCATACTGGGGGGATCTTAAAAAGGTATTACATCAAATGGACAGGTCAAGGATTTAATTTATGATAGAACACTATGGCATCATTTGGTTTGTGTACCTGATCCTATCTAGTGATAAAATTTGATTGTTTGTTGCATAATTTCTTAGACTTATTTAGCCAATTTCTTTCTGTTTTTGTAATTTAAAAGCCTGTTGAAATTCTGGCATTGTTTAGCATTTAAAGTCCATAACATTGTAGGTTAGTTAAGATTATATTGCTGATAAATAAAAAACACTTGTAATATTGTTTGTATAAATTTATTTACATATTAGGCAACAAAAGCATGATGATTTTGTTATCCTGTGTTTACCTGAGACTAGGAATTGAATTATATTCTAACATTCCTTGACACTTGTAAAGAGTTTGTTAGACCCCCAGAATGTATATAATAGAAGGATTAGGAATAAACCCAAATTAGATGGGTGCAGCCCAGTTACAGTATTCAAAAGCTTCTTTGTAAAGCCAGACTTGATAGAAACAGTAGAGGACTGAAAAGGACAGATCAGAAGGGAATTAGTTAGGTCTTGCTTTGTTTTTAAAATCAGTTTAGCTTTTTAGTTTCTAAAAACTAAAAATCTAAAACTGATAGAAGGTGTCTTTAGTTTTTAGTTTTCTGTTTTCATTGATGGTATTCACGCCTTTACTGTTAGGATTTTAAAAGGATTAACATCACTGCTGGGTTTAACATGCTTTGCGTGAGCGGTAAGCCTTATATTGTATTTGATTGAGTCAGTCACTAGATTAACCTAACTTTGATACCACTATTAGGATTTTAAAAGGGGATTAACACCACTATTAGATTTACCCAAGGGAGGCAATGTAAACATATAATATGACACAAGCTTCAATCTAAAAACCTTAAGGCAATAGATTTGTAGGTCTTTCCCACTTATATGTTTTTCAACTTCACTATTTCTATCAAATGTAGGACTTCAACTTATACTTGAATTCTAACATTTACCAATAGTTGTAGTGCATTCCGCCTTCATCACCATGAAGTTATCAAAATTGTGTTCCAACTTTGTTATGATTTGTCTGATCTGTCGTTGCCATTAATATCCTTTTTCATCTAAAATAGTTTTTAAGCTATAGTTCTTAAACAAGGTTTTTTTTTCCAACTTTTTTTCAAAAACAAATTTTTAATATTGATATCTAAAGCTTTTTTAAAAATCTTAAAAACAAATTCAAATCGAACAAGCCCTTAGTTTTGGAGTTGCAACTAATTTGGGGGAGAGATCAGGCTCTTGAAGGTCCGTATAGTTTGTACATTTATTTCTTTTTTTAGGCACCTTTATTCTGAGCAGCAATATACATTCTTCTGCTTTTAATTATTCATATCTTTACTAGATCCTTTCAAAGTCTTTTGTTGTAGTTTGAATATTTTATCCTGCATCTAAGAATGTATCTGCCTATGAGAATAACTCTTCATCCGCTGATTCAATCTACCTAATGAAAAGAAACTAAACAGCTGTGGATTTGATTCAGGTTGCATTCGGAATTTTTGGGTTTGAGCTTGCATGTTATCTTTTAAAACTCACATGCATATGTGTTCACGTGATTTTTTAAAATACAAGGCAGATTGTTTGTGCCTTTGTTTAGTCATTGGGCTGCAATTTTAAGCTAAATAAACACTCAATAGGCCAGCAGATGCCTTTTATTTTCCCAGACTTTAGTCTTTTTATGTTTCACATTCTATTCCTTGCTTCTGAACAAGATTATGAGTCACATTTAATTTTTTACAGCCGCCATGTGGCACCCGCTATTTGCCTGTGACACTATCTGCTTTATTATATAGTGGATTTTCACCATTTTGCAACACTGGTTAGAAGTTAGAAGTGAACACAATAAATGAAATGGAGCTAATCATATCTTATTTCTTACCTGGTTTTTATTTCTTGTTATGGTCAGAATATGGATGAAGCACACAGCAGCCCTGGATTGCATGATGCAGCTGGACCTAGTCTTGCAGAAGAATGTGCGACTCTGGTATATTTCTTTACTAAAATATATTATGTGCTCTATGTTGGAGTTGAATGTTATATGATATGAGCTAGGGACTTGAACTACACATTTATTTATTATGTTTTTAGTTGTCTTTTTATATTTTGTGGTTTTATATTTCTTAAACTTGTAAGAAGGCAGCTCCAGATAAAGTATCATCATTGCAAGAAGCTTTCCGTAAATGATGCTTGGGAATATCGACTGACACATCTGTATTGTGGACAGGGTGGATGCCGAACAGGGATGGCTAAAGTCACCAAGGCATATGACCTTCCTGCGAGGTTTGTATGACCCCCAGCCCATATTTTTTCTTGTTAAAGGTGAAGGAACAACAGTATCCTTTTACTATATTTGTATATAATTTTAAAGGTTGAATACCATGCTTTTTTCCTCATGACTTGGATCTTAGATTAGATATCCTTTTTGGTAAAGTCTGAGATCTGTTAATCATATGTCGTGGTCCAGAATTTATGTTGATTCATTCTACTTTATACCCGCTTGTTACTTACCCAACTTCATTTGTTAGTTACCAATATCTTGTCTACAATTTGTATTCTTTGTATACCATGTTTTATTCTTTGATAAATTTCCCGCAGGAAAATTATTCACACTGTTGGCCCAAAATATGCTATTAAGTACCATAATGCTGCAGAGAATGCTTTAAGTCATTGCTATCGTTCTTGCCTGGAGCTTCTGGTTGAAAATGGGCTTCAAAGGTTCACCCTCCCCCAAATGTTATGTTGTTTATTTTCTTACAACATATATTGTTTTCATGAATGTCATGTTATTTAAAATTCTAGGACTGACTTTAATTTTTTTGGCATCTGTTTATGTAGCATTGCTATGGGTTGTATATATACGGAGGCAAAGAACTATCCCCGAGAACCAGCTGCACATGTAGCTATAAGTGAGAATTATGTGTGCAGGATTTTACATTTTCAATTTGTTTCTTTTGATCTTGTGACCTGGTACATAATTTACTAGGTACATGTGAAGTTGGGAATGGAATTACTTTTGGGTATTACTATTACATGATCTTTGTTGTTTCATTCCATCCATACATAAAATAGATGAAGCACTGATAAGAACCTTGTAATTATGTAATATATTGTGTATAGGGAAATATTGTAATTAGGGTCAGTATGTAATTTTGTTTACATAAGCAATTGTATTTATGGCTCTAGTTATAATTAAGATCCTCCGCTGTGTAGTTTGGACATGTGGATTCTTTCACACGTCCTCATTTATCTTCTTCTCAAGCCACAAATGCTAAAAAGTAGGAAAATGAATTGCTAACTTTACATTAAGGGAAATTAATATTTGGGGGAAGGGGGGCGGATAGAATGGGAAAGCATGTGCTCTCTTCAATTTGTCTATCAATTCCTTGCTGTTTGTAGAATTTGTTTTTCTATATTATCATATCATCGGTGTATAAATGTTGGGCAATAATTGCAGCTTGAGTTTGAAATTTGAGTCTATGCTAGGTATCTTTTTTTATCTTTTCAATAAATCATAATTTTACCTTAATGTATAACATTCTTTGATCTCGGGCTATTTTACCCCTGCTTAATGTATCTAGTATATAGAGTATAATTTCTGTGTCAAGTTAACAATTGTTTACAAATGCTTGAAGGATGATATATTAATCTTTAGGCGAAACCATCTTTTATTCAGGAACTGTGCGACGATTTCTTGAGAAGCAGAAAAACACTGTAACAGCTGTTGTCTTTTGCACTGTGAGCACAACTGATACTGAAATATATAAAAGGTAGTTTATGCATTTGTTTTTGTTTTGGTGTTGATACCTGCAATATTTTTAGAACCTTGAACTTCCAATAGCTAGATAAGTGTGCTTGATTTTCTTTTCAGCCAGCCTTTAGAATTTATAATAATTATTTATACCTTTTGTATTATTTATGAAGGTTGCTTCCACTGTACTTTCCTCGGGATAAACATGAGGAGCAGGTTGCTTTAACTAAACTTCCAGCTGATGTTGGGGATGAAAATGGTGAGACAATCATGGCTGAGCGTAAAATCAGAATAAAGCCTTTGCCCAAAAGGAGTGTTTCAAGACCACCTGAGTTTGCCATTGATCTTCCAGTTAGTGATGTTGGCTTGGTTAACAGGTCAGTAATATTGTTATAATTTTTTAATACTTTGATTTTGTGTTTGATTATTAAAAAAAAATTAAAAAATACTAGGATGAGCATTATCAATCCAACTATATACAATATTGATTTACTGAAGCAGAAAATATAATTAACATTTTCTGTTCAACCATTCAAGTCTTTTGTGTTTCACCATATTTTTTTATATCTCTGAGAGATATAAATTAGTTTCATACCACATAATTGTAATTGCTTGAGAGTTTTTGTTGCATTTGATTAAAACACAATCCGTATTTTAATCTAACTTCTGGTACAATTTCTTGATTCATGTGGCTTTTATAGGAATTCGTCACATTTAGATTCTTTTCTGGATCCTGCCTTTATGTCCATGATTAAAGACCCTGATCTAAGGCGTATGGAGCAGTGGGAGAAAACTGCTGAAGCACAAAGAGGCTGGAATTGTGCTAAATTGCTAGGATATGGCAACCTTGGTGGACCCACATTGTCTGCTGCTGAAGAATATTCTCTACACTCTAGATACCTGTCTAAAGCAAATTCTTTAAATCTTTCTGAAATTGCAGAAATGAAAATAGTGTAAGTACCCATCTATTACATCATCTATTTTGCACGCATGCTCAGAGTTATAATATTATATGTGGGGATTTATTTGTAGTTTTTTGTTTGGATGATTGAATCCTTTTTAATGACAATGTTTTGCTAGATGAATTTATCTTCAAGGTTGTAAAATTTCTTTTATCCTTTTGGCTTCTGTATCAAATAACTTGTTGCAGTAATCTTATCTTTAATATTTCCCTTCAAGCTGGAGCATATATGTCTTGTGTGCTGAGTTCGTTACAACTACGATCTACATGAAATCCCTTGAGAGAATTTGTGAAAATACTTTTCAGTTGATCATTAGTGCTAACAAAGTCAGTGGTGATTTCCTAAGAACACTTTTTCTAACAAAATCACAATCTATGTCTATATGTTAAGTTCACAAAGGACATCTGGATTTGATGTAATGTGAAGAACACCTTGATTGTCATATAAGTTTCATGCCATGAATATCTCCAAATTGTAATTACCGGAGAAGTTGCTTAAGACATGTAATTTATACGTAGTTGTTGTCATGAGATGGTATTTAGCTTCGATGACAGATATAGGAGCTGTATTTTGCTTCCTTCTTCTCCTTTAGATCAAATTCCCCTTTAAAAGAACACAGTAACCAAAGGTAAATCTCCTGTCAGATGGTGATCCTGTCCAATTAGAATAAGAGTAACAAACAATCTTGGCATTATCTTCACATGAGTCGACAACTTGGAGTATTCTTGATATATATAAGGATGCACATGACAACATCCCAATGCCTATGATAAGGGACATTGAAAATTGGCTTACCATATTGACTGCAAAGGTGATATTTGGCTGTGACAATGAGGTATTCCAGTCCACAACAAGTCTACATGTCGTAGTGGCTACCTCTGACCTAAAAAATCTTGATGTTGTGGTTCATATGAGTGTTAGTGGGATGACAATCAAACATACTCAATGCATATTCTCTTTGGGAAATGACAATGCCAAATATTGAGTGAGGAACCTCAATGTCTAAAAAATATTTGAATAAATCTAGGTCTTTCATTTGGAATTGACTATGGATCCCATCAAAGTCATCATCATCAACAAACCACCAAATAAGTGAATATGTTATATTGAGAGTGTAGGAAAAAAACATTGATCATCCTCACAAAAGACTCATAGCAAACTAGAGTAAGGAAGAGCTAAAGTATCAAACTAGGTACGAGGAGATTGTTTTAAGTCGTACAAAGATACAAGGTGAGATCCATTTGACATGGTGAAGTCAGTAGGCAGCTTCATGTAATCTCTTCTTACAAATCTCCATGTGAGCAAGTCTTTTTAATGTCTAGTTAGTGAAGAGGCCAATGGTGGATGGTAGGCCTTGCAAGAATATAAGGTGGATGGTGGCAATTGGAACAAGGTGTCCCCACAATCTAAGCTAAAGGTTTGAGTATATTCCTTAGCCATCAAACGAGCTTTAACTTATTAATGTTAGCATTCAATCCAACCTTCACAATATACACCCACAATAATCAACAATAGTCTTTGTTGAAGGTAAAGGACTCAACTCGTAGGTGCCACTGTCCTATAAAGAAGCCATTTTCATCCAACATCATCTACTAGCAAGCAGGATCTGTCATGGCTTCACCTATAGAAACAAAATCCAAAGAGGAAGTAAAAGAGAAATAAGAAAGGAGCTACTTTACATTTGGACAAACTTAATAAATGTAAAAGGAGTACAATGACCCCTCTAGATACAATGAAAACAACTTCACAAAAGTTGTACAAGAGATAACAAACAACTATTTTAACGCCCCCTCAAGCCACTATTTAGACTTCTTGAATGACCAAGCATATCTTAGATTTTTATACTATCAAGCTATTTCTTAGACTTCTCAAAACACATAAATAACTTGCAAGCATATCAAGACAAATCACGGTAACTTATATTATTATAACTCAAGAGCTCTTCAAAGCCAAACACATTCTCATTGCATAACATTCATTCATATAAATAATCATCATCACATATATGAAGATATACCCCCAAACATATTCATGCATAAAGTTTACACATAGAAAACCATCAGTATATCTCTAATGTTTTGGGTAATATTTCACCTACTTTATCTTATGTTTCTATGACCTTTGATCAGTATAAAAGAGATATCTAGAGTTATATTAAACCTATGAAGTTGGTTTTTATCTTGTTTTCAATTATCTAGAATTTGGATGTTGACCTCAAGATATAGTTCAATCGTTTACTAAATCTAGATTAAAGAAAAACACACTTTTATCAAAATCTTATTGAGGGCTTAGGATTTGCCTCTTTATCTACAACTCTTATAAGCATTCATATATGAGACATTTCCTACTCCCCATCTTACCTCGAATGATGATACGCCTCCAAGATGCAAATCTAAAAACTGTTCTCCAAACTCTTTATGCACCGTCTCTTCCAAGTTTTCTTTTGATGGTCAAAAACTAAACAATCATGAAATGAAAGGGGAGAAAACCTAACACTTATTTATGTACTAAGTGAGTTGGACTTTAAAGATCAAGTTGAGTTACTTCTAACATTTATCTTTTTAACTTTCTTTTGTCTTACTTTATCTTTCATCTTTATTTTTCTTTAACAATCCAACTTATTTCATCTTTTATAAAATACTTTTATTTTATTATCTAAGCCCAATTAAATAATCTAATTAAGCCAAATAAATAATTATATCACATTTTTTAAAATAAAAAAATGGATGCTACAAAAGGCAGGGGAGAACGGCAGGATGATTACCAGAGAGTGGGTGTGTGCTGGAAAAAGTCTCAAGCTTTGAAAAATAGTGATTAAAGACAAACAATAGTGATTACCTTATCATTAAAGACAAAAAATAGTGATTTATTTAAGATTTTTGAAGAATGAAAAAAAAAATGTTTTACAAAAACCAAAACCAAAATTTAAAGATATCACATGTTGACATGTTACTGCCATCACTAGTGCGTGGCACACTGCCATGTGAGATGGTCACTTGACCTTTCTATTGAACAAAAAAGTAGCTAACAAGTGTCACGTACAATAATGATCTAAAACAATGATTTTAGCTTTTTGAAGGATGAACAAGGAAAATTTTTATAAGGACTAAAGCAAAAATTTATTCATTAGACAATGACTAAATATATATTTAAGCCTTTAACTTATTCTACTTGCGATAATTAGAACCTAATCCATTGGAAAGTGTGACATCAATATGGTTTTACTTTCAATATGATTCAATAACAATTGAAATCACGATGAAGTTGTGTTTATGAAACTCCTTACATTGTTACCCAGATACTCTATGTGAATGTTTCATGCTTGTGTTCAGATTTATCTTTTGAGGGTTTATATGCTATTTGCCATTAATGTCTGAGGCATATTTGTTTTTCAGCTATCGTGGAGGGGTAGACAGTGAGGGTCATCCTGTCATGGTTGTTGTAGGGGCTCACTTTTTACTCAGGTGTCTTGATCTGGAGCGATTTGTGCTCCATGTGGTAAAGGTAAGTTGGTTATACCTTTCCGCCTTACATCTTTTTCTTTTTTTTTTTTTCTGCTGGCAAGTATTAGTTTGGCCATTATAAATTTTTTGGTAATGCTTACTTCTTTTAAAGTCAAAACAGATTTCTTTTCATAAGTTCTAATCTATGTCTTTCTCCCCCTTTGTTTTCCTTGGTGTTAAATTTCAGGAGTTTGAGCCTTTAATACAGAAGCCTTTTTCTATTGTCTACTTCCACTCTGCTGCATCTTTGCAGATGTAAGTGTTGAATGTTGGAATTCTAGAATGTACTCACTGGTTAATTTTTTTCTATGAAATAGTGGTTTGTTATAACTTATAAGCTAATCATTGATAAATATTTTAGGAATGTTCAAGGGGAATGAACTAGTTTTTATACATACTTTCATTGCCAACTCAATTATTTTGTGTGAATTGTGTTCAAATTAATTGAAATAGTTTTGTATACATAAGTTTTGTTAATTGATAATTCACTCCTTTTATTCAACTAGATAATGTGAAATCTTAAAATTCAGCAGTCGAGATAGAGTAAATTTGCTTGAACGATTTTGTTTCATCCATCATCTGCTATAGTATTTTGGTTACCGAACTATTCACATTGTAGTGGCAGTGCATATTGCTGGAAATATCTGCTTTGGCAGTGCATATATGCTAATTTGTTGAGAATGTTTTAGCTATTAAAAAGCATTGTTTGCTGAGGGAAGATATTCCTGTTTGAGTGGTAGGCTTTTATGAAGCATCACTTAAGAGAGAAAAATGTGTTTTTGGATAAATGTTTTAAAATGGATGTGCCACTTGGTACATTTTGAATGTGGCTTAAGAGTATTTTAAATAAGCTAGGTGCTTTGTGAATTGGTTGCTCCTGATTGCTGTCCAATACGCTTTATTTTGGCTTTGTTGGCAGTTGAGTTTTACATTTCCCCGTTCTGTTTTGATATAATTAGACAGCCAGACCTGGGTTGGATGAGAAGATTGCAACAAATACTAGGTCGGAAGCACCAGCGCAACCTGCATGTAAGCATGATTTATTTTCTTCTGTCTTTTGTTTGAATACTCTTACGAACTATTTTTGCTGTCCTCTAAGTTGTCTGATTTCTCATTCTGACGTGTAGGCAATATATGTCCTTCACCCAACTTTCGGACTAAAAGCTGCTGTATTTGGGCTTCAGTTGTTTGTGGACAATGTGGTACAGTAATGGAACCTAAGCATATTTTATAACCTCATATGTGTGTGTATATTTGTGTTATTAAAATATAACTTTCAGGTTTGGAAGAAAGTGGTATATGTTGATCGACTTCTGCAGCTCTTCAGATACGTACCTCGTGAACAGTTAACCATCCCAGATTTTGTGTTTCAGTTGAGTGTTGTTTAGTTTTAGCCTGGTGCATCTACACTTTTTCTTTTCATTTTGTTATTTTGTACAATTTACCTTTTTCAATATATGGCTTTTAAAAGTATTTAGAATTGAAATAGTTCTAGCATGTCACGAATGCCCAATGCTACTAAGTATCCACACAGGAATTATTTTGCCCTATTTGTGCTGCAAATTATTTTTCTTGCTGTAGCTATTTTCCTTATAGTAAATTTAGTTTAGATAATAGGCTGGGCATTAATTTGTTCATACTTTTATTCACGTAGGCATGATTTGGAGGTAAATGGAGGGACGGGTCTCATTGTGGATCCCAGAACAAAATATGTGTACAACAGACCGTGACACTCATGTACTTCTATCATCGGTGGATAAAGAAGGACCCTTCACTGCAGTTTCTTCATTATCTGTCTTGCCCTTATTGTCGTTGTTAACAGGAAGAGGGCTTTGTATTAGTTAGAAATGTGCATGGAAGCATTTTTTTTTTATCTTCTGGACTTTTGGAATTAGTACTAGTTCCCTTGTATGTATGTATATGGGATTGGTCGTGGAAGCTAATTGATTGGATTTCTTGGATTGTGTACATTTCAAGGGAGTAAGTATTGTTGAATACAATTAGGTTTTGGTTCCTCTCATTGCATAATTGATTTTTGCTAGTGTTCAGTATGCTACCAAACATGTGCTTCAGTTGTTTGGTTCCTCTTCCAATCCATCCCAGATTTGACACTAGTTATTGAATATAAAAGTAAATGAACTACATCATTTATTTAGAAGGCTATCAGAGATCGATCAAGACCTGTCTAATCCATTGAAGAATTTCGGGTATCCAGGGTTTTGTACAAGTAACAAAGTTACAATACTTGTAAAGACTATTTGATGAGTGATGGATGTGTTTTTTTACTAGTTTTGAATAACAAAATTACGATCACTTGTTACATTGTAAAAACTAATTTATGGACAAAGATTCTGACCATTCTCAACTTTCAATCATTACTATTACTAACTTCCTGCATCTTAGATAATTCTTTAATTAGTTTTTTCTACTGTAGATGACTTCTTTGATTCATCTTCAAATCTTTCACTCCAGCATACATACATCTCTGAAGTTGTAGAACAAAGCAATCATGCGAAGTCGTTGACTCAACAGTATCGATTCCTTCCGAGAAGTCCTCACTATTCGCACAATTTTTTTTCCTAAACTACCTCAACTGTGTCTTGTGTGAGCGTAATGGTGATACCAGTGAATTTCATGGCATCACTAGAAAATTAACTTGCACTTAAATTCACCGGAATCAGACCCATTACATCTACCAGTCAACTCCATTCTTATATCAAATGGTTATCTCCAATCTTCCAAGAATGAAATTCATAGAGTGTAGGTTTTCCTGAATCAAGCAATTCTGCTTTACCACCACAGAAATTGAACATGGCTGATTAAGAAAGTACTGCCACTTTGGCATAAGCGTCATTGTTGAGATCCATCTCCACTGAACTACAGCCAGGAACCTTGTTTAACCCTCTTTGCTTTATCATCTCCCTCACCTGCTTAACCATGCCCCATCTCCCATCCGAAGCATACAGGTTTGATACAAGCACGTAGTAACAAGCTTCATTAGGGTGCAACTCCAACATTCTCCTAATAGCCACTTCCCCTATCTCAAACCTAGAATGAAGCCCACAACCATGGAGAAAAGCTCCAAACACACTAACACTAGGTTCAACGGGCATTCTCTCAATAAAATCAAAAGCCTCTTCAAGGTTCCCTGCGCGCGCCAACATATCAACCATACACGCATAGTGCTTCATGGAAGGAACCAAATTCAACTCCCCACACATCAAATTAAACAACCTGGACCCTTCTCCAACCATCCCCGAATGACTGCAGGCCGCTAATATAGTTGTAAATACCACTTCATTAGGCTCAAGCTCCTCCTTCAACATATCCCTAAACAGCACAAGAGATCCATTTCCATCCCCCTGCATCCCATACCCACTAATCATTGCGGCCCACGTCACCACATTCTTCTCTCCCATTGAATCAAACACCATCCTCGCGGCCTTCGTATCCCCACATTTCGCGTAGAAATTCAGCAGAGCAGTGCCAACGTAGATACTGGACAACACCAGGCCTTCCTTCAACGACAAAGCGTGAACAGAGCAACCAAGCTGAAGCGCGCCAAGGGACGCACACGCAGAGAGAACACCGACCACAGTAACTGAATCCGGCGAGAGCAACTCCAATCTCATCCTCTTGAAGAGCTCCAGAGCTTCACACTCTTCACCACTCTGCGCACAACCAGAAATAATCGAGTTCCAAGACACGACATCCTTGTCCATTGATTCAAACACCTTTCGGGCATCCAAAACAAGGCCACATTTCGCGTACATATCAACAAGAGCATTCCTCACAGGAGGATCCTCCAATCCACACTTGACTCCCAAACAATGAAGTAACATCCCCATATGAGAATTACGTAATTGCCCACACGCAGATAACAAGCTCGAAACGGTGACAGAATTGGGTACAAGCCCGGCCCATTTCTCGTTCGTGAACAACTCTATTGCTAAGCGAGGATAACCTCTCTGACTATACCCTACGATCATAGCCGTCCATGAAACAAGATCCCAATGATGATGCTGATGATCGGAAGAAATACTCTCATCAAACACCGCACGTGCGTCCCGAACGCTCCCACATTTAACATACAAATTCAAAAGCGACGTGGTCAAGAAAGAATTAACCGAGATTCCGTTTTTGATAACAAACCCATGAACCCACTTCCCTTGGTGCAACCACCCCAGGTTGGTGCACGCACTGACCACGCTCCCGATTGTAAACTCATTCCCCTGGACGAAGGCTTCTTGCATTCTGTTGAACAAGGTTATACCCTCACGCGCGCAATCGTTTTGCACGTAGGCGACAATCATGGAGGTCCAGGAAACGACGTCGCGGTGGGGTATTTCGTCGAAGGCGCGTCGCGCGTGAAGGAGTTGGCCGCATTTGGCGTAGGCATCGACGAGAGAGGTGAGGAGGAAGCTGTCGGGAGGGAGGGACTTGGTGACGTGGCAGTGCGTGAGTGTGGCCTGTAGGAGGTCGCGTGTTTCAGCGCAGGATTTGAGGACGACAGAGAAGAGAACGTCGTCGTGAGGGGTGGGGTGGAGGGAGAGGCGCATGAGGCGGTAGACCGAAACAACGCCGGAGTGGTTGTCGTTGAGAAAATAGCAGCGAATCATGACTTTGAAGGAGTAGAGGTCGCGGGAGGGGAGGAGGTCGAAGAGTGCGCGCGCCCGCTGGAGGACGCCGAAGGAGCCGTAGAGGCTGAGGAGCTTCGTCGAGATGAGGAGCTCGCCGCTGAGGCCGTGGGCCACCAAGGACGCGTGGAGCTTCTGCAGAGTCTCCAGGTTTGTGCAGAGGCGGGAGAGGTAGAACGTGGCAGGGAGCGGCGGCGGCGGAGTCTTCGGCGGTTGTTGTCCATGGTAGTGGTGGTGATGGTGGAGGGAGCTGCGTTGAAGACTTGGTTTTGATGTAACGCGTAGGAGTCTGAATATCGCAACCATGTTATGTTCACATAGCGAACTGAGGCCCAAGATTGATAGGGCTTGATGGCAGTAGTGAGTCAAACGACGTCGTTTCGTACTCTTTTCATTATTTACTTTCCTTTCGTGCACCTACATAGTTTTCCACTGCACTTTTTTATTCACACAAAAATACATTTTATATTCTTGTATTTTTGTTTGGAATAAAAATACTTGTGGATTATATTTTTAAAAAAATATGGATTAACTTTTCACTTTTTATTCAAAATAATAGATCTTATATAACCATTCTATTCATAGTTTATGAAAAATGAATTTTAGTAAATAATTATTTTTTTCTTAATTTATTTATGATTTTGATAAAAAAAAAAAAACTCATACAATCAAAATTATCTTTTACAATTTAAAATGATAATTAGATAAACTCATCATAAATTATGTATTTACTAAGTAATAACAAAAATTCAAATTGTTAGATAGTTTAATTTATATATATATATATATATATATATATATATATAACGATAAATAAGAATTATATATTTATTTTTTATTTTTATATTTATTTTTTATAATCTAATAAAATAAAATAATAATTTATCTTATAAGAATAAGGAGGTTGATACCTTCTTTCGTTAAAATATTTTTCACATAAAGACGTAATAAAAGTTTTCTAACACCCAACACTCTAATTCTTTGACTTTTTTTTCAATAATTAAAAAATAAAATTAAAAACTCATTTAATAGATTCATTGATAAACTTCAATACGAGAAATTCGTTAATAAAACCTGATTTGGTTAGAAAAAAGAAAATTATAAACGGTTTTAGGAATTAGGTTTTAAGTATATAGTCGGTCAATTTCTTTTAAGAATAAAAATTAAATACTTATTTTTTTACTTTTATTATTATTATTTTTTTAATTCTAACAATCTCAAATAATAACTTATCTTAACATATATTAAAAAAATAAAGTGAAGATAAAAAATAAATTTATGGCTCTATTTTTAGAGTAAATACATCTCTTGTCTTAAGTATTGTTAGTCATTAAATTAAATTATTGTTATGGAATAGATTTATAATTTGATGTTAAATCTCTCTCCAAAATTAAAGATAAAGATTTGACCTCTTGCATTTAGATTCTAATTTAATATCTATACATTTATTTTTAATAATTATATATATATTCGCACTCACATCTAAAAAAATAAACACGGGAGAGAGAAGGGGAAAAAAAGTGTAGAGGAGGGTGTGACAAAGGCTAGGAAGTAATTGAAATAAAAATTTGATAGAAAGTAACGATGAATGAGAGGAGAGGGTTAATGTTGATAATTTCAGTTTTAATTTGTTTAGGGTTTAGGTCGTCATAAAATGAATTATATTAATTTATTTTAAAAGAAAATGATAAAACCCGAAAAATAATAGTGAAACAAAATTTAAAAATACTGAAAAAATAAAGCAATTTATGCATAAAAGAAGCTAGAGATAATGAGTGAACCTAAAAGATATTTTAAAAGGTAAGAACATGTGCCATCTTAAATGTTGAAAAGACATCATGGAATAATGATATTAAATACTCTTCCATTTCACATTATAGGAGATTTTGGGTAGAAAAAATTATTTCTAAATATACATTTGTAAAATTTAAGATTATATTAATTATTTTATTATCAATTATATTCTTTTTTTTAACTACATTTATTATAGAGAAAATAAACAATAAATTTCAACTATTTTTATTTAACATAATATTAAAATAATAAGAATATTAATAAAAAAATTAATAAATTTATTTAAAATAATAAAAGTTAATATTTATTTAAATTTATATAAACTAATCTTAAACGTCAATTAAAGGAATAATATTTTTTTATCATATAAAATTTTAACATTAATTATTTATAGTTTAAGAACTAAAAAACTAATAAAAAAATCTATTTTTTTCTAAAGGTAATAGAGATTAAAGATATAGAATCAACAAAATGAGACACTATTGTTTCGTCTCATAATTCTCATTACTATTTATTTATTGACTATAATTTTGTGTTTTTATTTATACTTGTTTAATGGTTGAAAAACTCTTTGGTAATTTAAAACACATTAAAGAAACAAATTGCAAATAAAATGGATATTGAATGTGAATTTATTCCAAAACGTCAAATCTATATAGGAAAAAAATACTGTGATGAAAATAATTGAGCACACACTATTAATCTTGAATTTGTTAAATAATCTTTTAGGATACATTATTTTTTACATATTACAGATCATTATCTTATCAAAACTTGGAATCACTTTGCAAACATTTAGAAACTTATCTAGAATGTAATAATTCTTATGATCTTAATGGTCAAGTTTAGTTTGAAGAGTTAAAATTCATAAAAGAGATTTTAATGATTGAATCAAAGTCAAGTTTTATATGTAATTCTTTCAAAAAATTTATTTGTTTCCCTAATACATGGTATAACTTACATAGTAATATTAATTATTCATTTTAATGTTGCACATGTTGAAAGAAGTTTTTTTGAATTAAAATTATAAAAATCTTATTTTCTGTCTACTATGTCACAGGATAGATTAAATAGTTCTGTTCTAATTTATATTAAAAATATTAAAAAAATTGATTACAAAAGAATTATTAATGATTAAAAAAAATACAGGAACAATATTTAAATTATTAGAATGTCATTGTTCTATCAATTTATCTAAGAAAGGAAAATCTCATTTGCCCTGAGGATGCATGCATGGTTTAAGCTATAAACTCAAATTAATAGTTGACATTTAAAACATTCCAAAAACTAGCTTAGAAATGCACTTCTTCCTAAAATGCATTTAACTATTGATTTAAATAGTATCTACATTAAAATTACATATGGAATTTTCTGTTGAAAAGCAAAAGAATCCACTAGTATGGTAAGGATGATTGCTATTAATAGAAAAATTATATAAACCTCTATGCTGCATTTATAACTACAAAACTGGAAAATCTTTCATTACACTACTGAAGAACTGTGATTGAGGAGAAGAATCTTAGCAAAAATATCCACAACAAAGTAAAAAATCTACGACCCTTTCACTAGCTTAAAGTCCTATTTGATGGAGATCCAATTCATTTTAAGCATGCAGCCTAATGTGCAGTATGACTTAAAAATCACTAGTAAAGGTCCAAGACAGTGAAAGTGCACAAGCTGGTATATATCTCCTCTCAATAGTTCTTAAAAGAGACAACAAGAAGAAATCATGAGACGTTATTGAAGTTGGTATGGACCAAAGACTGACTGAAAATCAAACATATACCCAAATTCGGGTTTGAAGAAATTTACAAGAGAAATCTCCATGCTTGAGATTAACATTTTGTTCCAACAATATTGAAATGGATCTGCTTTGTGCTTACCCTCTATAAATTCTCATCTATAAATTTAAGCCTCTACCGGTGATCAGATTAACCGGATGGACGGAGGATTACCTGCTGGAAACCTTTGTCTGCGGGGCCTTCTGGTTGTCTTGCCCCAGCCTGTTAGGCTTCTATCCTCCAACCCCACATCAATGTTATTAAGCTGCTGAATAAGTGGGGTGCTTGTTTCAATGGTTGTCACTGGAGGAGGAGGAGGAGACCGGGTAACCTGTGGCTGCGATCGCCGTCTACCCCGACCACATCCATTCCTAGACGAGCTTCTTCTGTTTAATCCTGAATGCCATGCATGACCTGTTGCTCTCATAAGCCCTCCAAACGTTTGAAGATCTTCTGTTACTTCATGTCTTGATAAAGAAGCCAGGCCTGGAAGGATGTCCCTTTGGAAGTCCCTCCGCTGCCTACCTCTCCTAGCTGGCCCTTTTCGTGTCCGAGTAGGTAATGTGGTTGTTCCAGTTTCATCCACTCTGAAGTTTTCTGGAACAAGGGGCTCGGGCATGTAGTCTTCTTCCTTGGTCTCTGTCAGTTTCAATGTCATTGATTCAAAGTAATCCAAGCCATCTGAGGAAGATTCTTCATTATTTTCATCATCTTTTTCGTTTTGATAATCAGTCTTCTTCTGCAGATCATCCATACATGAGGAAACTATATCTACAAACCAACTTAGAGGGTCCACCACCGGGCTTTCTGATGGACTGCTGATGACATCATCCACTTGCTGGCAGCAAGAAGATGACAAGACAACAATTGCCTCTGCTGCATACCTCATAAGTTCATCCTGCAGCTTTTCAACTGTGCCCAGAGGACCTAGTGGTGATACTGAAGGAGTTTCAAACTTCTTTTCTTCAGGAATGGCATCCTCCTGTGTCTCAGGAACTGCAGGGGCTTCAAGATCTATTTCTCCCTTAGTTTCTAAGTTGGTTGTTGGCATATTTGGCAGAAATGCTTCATCCTCCTCATTCATACTCAAGTTCAAATCAATCTGATTTCTAGAGTTGGCTTTTGTTGTAGATGATACTGTCTCACAGACAATAACTTTAGTGACAGTTTGTTCGTCCAACTCAGGGACAGCAGCATCACAAGGCAAGTTAATATCAAGAATCTGTTTTTTCCTATTATTTTCCACTAATTCTGCGTCAGATGGATTAGGAACCAAGATAGATGGAGAAGTGAATGAAGATGACTCCTTAGAAGATATTTGAGGTACGCCAAATATGGGAACACCAAGAATTTTCCTTTTACTAGAGCTCTCTCTAACTTCCGTCCTCTTTGGCTCAATATCATTTGAACACAAACCTGTAGTTAGATTGTGCATAAATTTTCCGTTAGACCCCTTTCCAGATTCATCTTCGTTAGATAAAGAAACAACTTGGAAAACACTTAAATCTACAGCATTTAAACTTCTACCAGCATTTTGTGCCTCACTCTTACATGCTTTTTTGGCTCTAAGCCAAGGCAAAAGTGCAAGCTGCTCCTCATACTTCTGTTCTCCATCCATGAATCCCAGACCTGACTGGGAAACCAAGTTGTTTGAAGAACCATTTGAAAGCATCTCATTCAAGTTAATATTTTTTGCAGACTTCAACTCATTGCAATTTGAATTCAAATTTGAACTCTTGCAACAGTTTGCAGAACCATTGTTCAAATGTTCAGAAAATTTCTTGCAATCATTATCCCGGTTGAGATAACTAATTGAAGAGATGTTCACTGAAAGCTCCTTGGTCCCAGATGAAGTCCTGGGGTAAAATCCATTTTTCCCAGATGCCTCACATTGAAATCCGGTAATAAACTTTGAATTGAAATTTCGAGGAGGCCAACTATCTCCCAACATCCCGTTACTCTGATGTGACTGGGAACTCCTGCTAAAGGCAGCGGATGCATTTAGACATGGAGAGGGAGGTGTCTGTACCGATATCAACTTCTGGTTTACGTTACTACTTGCCATTTCCCAAGATGATTGAGACCAAGTCCTGGCTAAATCTGAGGAAGGAGCAATTGCAAGGAGACCATGTCTATGTGATGATGCAACAGACTCTGACAGTTTATTAGCAGAGTATTCATGATTTCTTTCACTGATATCTAACCCACTAGCTTTCTTCTCCCTCAACAAATCAGTCATGCTTCGATTAGTTAGATAATCATATGTAGGTTCATGAGCTTTATTGAATTCATCTTTCATTGTTTGGGAAGATAAAAGTGATTGCTCTTGTTTGAGGACTTGAGAAATGGGTTTCAGATTGCTTTTAGCTTGCCCTGCCATCATCAAAAACAAGTTTACGATTTATCATGTAACTCATTCCATATTAGTTCTTGTTTATAGCCACATGAAAAAATAATTGATATAAAAATAAAATGTTTATCTAATAATTTTCAAATTTCTATTTGGACCAAAAATATCCATCCAATTCTCTAATATTAAAAAAATATATATAGTTTACCAGCTTATGTTAATAAAATCACCAGACGCGTACTTTTATAGCTACCATGTGCCTTTGACATGTATCAGATAGGAGAGGCAGGTTCAAAATGTAAATTTGAATCAAGCAGCTCAATAAGAAATCTAACCTGACTCTATTGAAGAAATCGACATTTTCCCATTCCTGTCATTATCCAAATATCCATTATTTCGAGCCCAGCTGTCATTTCCATGATGTGAATTCATTAAATCTTCCTTGGACAATCCAAAGAACCTTGACTTCTGTTTAGCTGATAGATCAGAGCATTCAGTTGCCCTTTGATAGGGATTATGGCTTTCAGGAGAAACATATGCAACCTCATTTGTTTCTTCCCGATGAACAGGTTCATTTAAGTCTGCTAAACCATTTACGGTTCTTAAAGACCGCTCAAGTCTTGAAGTGTTGTCTTCCTGGCCACCATTGCCGTAAAAAAGGTTCACATCACCTCCCTTTTCAGGCTTATAATTCCTATCAGAAAGATATTTTGTTGTGCCACTAATCTTTTCATCACCATGCTGCTCATTCTGGTCAGTATCAATGTACTCGTCAGCAGGGAGGTGAAGGTCAAACATTTTTCTCCTTACTTTTGAGGGTCTGAACCCCAGTATCTCAACATCTTTCGAGCTACTCCCATTTGGGGATGGGAACAGACCAGCTTGCTTACTGATTCCTTTCTTAGAACTCAAAGGAGAATGAATGCCCTCAACGCCTGAAATAGATGGTCTAGCAGAAGTAGAACTTCCAACTATTGGAAATCCAGGAATCTGCCATTTTTTAACATCTTCAGATGTTATGTGGGAAGCCAAGGGACCTGTGAAAAATGATGTCTCAACAGATATCTGGCTTCTGTGTAAATCATTCATTTTAACCTCATCCATCAAATCCCTTTGTATTCTGTATAAGCGGTGAAGTTCAAAGACCTGATTAAATACATAATATAAATAAATCAAAAGGTTGACTAATCATAGGGTTCATTAATAAAAGAAGCTGAAAAATGCCACCACTGAGTAGAAAAACCTACATCTAAAATTGATTAAATTCAAGTTTGCAAACTAGTGTTGATAGCATAGATGAAATACTATCCAGTGCAACAATTGAAAAAATGAGACGTTTTAAGTGGAAAAGACTGCGGAGAATCACAGAAAACTAAAACTAACAGTCCAAGAAGCCTGTATATTTTTATTTGACCAATTAAACTTAATCATTCAACACCAAAAAACCTCCTCATTGATATTATTGAAGCTAAAGGCTAACGGGAAAAAGAACTAGAACCATAATACCTGATTCTTAAATATGGCCTCGTGTTCAAGCATTGTTTTCTTCACAACATCCTTATCATGTGCTGAACATGCATCTGCAGCAGCACTATGCAGATAATTGTGATAATACTGCCCATTTGCCAGTGATTTATCTCCATAACATAGGGGCCAGCCACAACTACTGGATTCCTCATTAAAATCTCTCATTGAGTAATATCCTGGCAGACTCTGAACTTTGGTTCCCATCCCTGAAAATTGAACAATTATAATTGAAGGAGTTTTCTACCATGAATTAACTGATACATAGCTTCCAGTGCAACCAAAGATTATTACAATTCATGCAATATCTTCATTTATTTTGGACTCATTAAGAAGGTATGAACTTTGTTTAACATTCCATATGTTGCATGACATCAAATACCACACATAGTCAAATACAATCCATACAAGCAGCCAAATAATTGCATGACTCAAATCCAGATTTAATGACATGACATATACCGACAGTACTAGCAAAAGATACTTTCATAACAAGAATATTTACGTTTTTTTCTTCTTAAGTTATCCATTAAGTTTAATTGAATGATTAAGAGAACTTCTCAGTGTAAAAAGTAGTTTGGCTAAAGAATAAAATTAAATCTTCAATTTCAATACAGAATCTACACAACTTCAGTTTGGTTAAAGAGTATTTAAGTAAACCTGTAAACTTATTTTTCCGTAAGTAGAGTCTATTTTATTTGGAAGAAAAAAAGAAGTTAACTAGATTAGTAATGAATCAAAGACCAAGAGGCATGCACCTTCTAAACCATGCAACTTTTGGTAGCGAACTAGAATTTGAAAAGTCTATCATTACCAATTGAAAACCATAGGAAATAAGTTTTGTACACTCTACTCATCTTATTGTTAAGTAATAACTAATATTTTCAAATGAAAAATAAAAAATTCTCAATAAAGAATCAATATGCCATCAATTTTTTCATTTCAATTCATGTGAAGTTGATGTTTTGGATGACCACATAGTGTTATTACACCCAATTCATATGTGCAATACCACTTTACAGCTTTTAAATGCATGCACAATAAAGGCCTTGCGCCCAAGTTATGGGGAGTACAACAAGAATCTAATTACCACTCCTTTAAATTCCATAAATCCCCTTTTATCTTGAAAGAAAATGTGGATTACCTCAATAAGTGCAGGAAAGCAACATGTATTCAAGAAAGGATTTACTTAGTTGGAAACAAGAATTTCAATGCTATATTTCCAAATTAGATACTAATGTTACCCTGCTGCTAGATCAAGCCAAGTTCCCCACATTTTTGGTTTAATAGATCGGCCAAGGTGAAAACACTTAATTAATATAAAAAAGGCTGAAAATATTCACTGATATGAGTTGAGATGGAGAAGTATGTGAAACAAATCCAATGTGTTAGACACAACAATACAAGAAGAAAGCACTAGCTACATCATCAAGCTCCTGAGAATCTGAAACCAGAAGACTCCTTATGGCCGGTAGAAAGCATCTGTTGTGGCTTAAAAAACTTGTGCATAATGTAGCTCACACCAATTATCATATCATATAGGTTAACTTTCAAAAGTCATAACTACATTAACTGCCAATTAAACTCACAACTCCTGTGTTCAGAAGATCAGTAGAACTGCATCACAAATGTGGTTTTTGAAGTGTTAGAGAGGTACATACATCCTTAAAAGTCACTGAATGCAAACATTTATCAATGGTGAACTACAAGTGCAATCTACACATTTTAGGCTTGCAAGAAAGCAATCAGATTCATTAAATTGTCAGACTGACGATTGCATTCCATCTCACATTGCTGGGTTGAGGACAATTTTTTAGCCTATATTACTGCACCAAGAAAAAGGGCATCATGATATATTGAATAAATTACCCTTCAACATTTTGATGGAAGGCAAAAGATCTGAAACCGACTTGTCACACCTCAGCAATAGTAACTACCTTTAAAATAATGATGAACAAAGAATACAAATTCATAATTTAACAATCAGGACAATGTAAACACTACCCAAAACACACTCATTACACTAGCACAACCACAAGTGATTGTAACATGATTTTTCAACTAGATGACTTTCTATCTACGCTTTCAAGTGTATTAAAACCCTCTCATTCTCCAATTCCCAAAATTTCAGTGAAATACTTATTGGGTCTCAACTTTGATAGGTAAACAGACGCTCATCACTGTGATAAAAGAATAAAAAACCTATCGAGAAGAATAGTAGCTTTAAACTAAGCATCACAAATTCAACCTTGATGCAAGGAAAGTTATGTCCTTCACTCCAATTTCGAGTCAAAAGAAAGAAGAACAAATAAAAGTAACAAAAGATCTTAATTCTATCCATAATGAAATAGGTAGGTTGTCTCTCAAGTAAATTTAGAAGAACATAACAGTTTTCTGTCATTAATTTATAGGCAGAAAGATTAAAAACACTGAAAAATATAAGAGGGAGAAAACCCAAATGAATGACTAATTAGAATTAAGCAGATCTTATACATCAATTATCAAACCATCAGATATTATAGCCAGAAAAAATAACTTAATGGACCAAAAGGAAACTTCACAATATTACAGCTACAGATACAGACTAAACAAATAAACTAAAGAAAGAAGAAATAAAAATCTCCCAGTTAAATTACCCCAGAAACAATAGGAACCCAGAATTTTATCTTCATCATACTCAAAACACTAGTTCTGAGAAAATGAAACCAAATTCAGCAAACCATGAAATTACCAAAAAATATGCACAACTTAAGAAGTTTAGCAAAATTACCTTAGACCCACATCCTCTCATCACGTGCTCCTAAGAATCCACCATGGATTCCACCATTCAACATCAGAGAAGAACAAAACATCAGTGTTTGACTCTCACTGCAACAGGAAGCAAACGAAAAAGGTAGCTAAAACCAACAATTGTGGGAGAAACAACGAAGTGGGAGTTGCTGCAACAACATTGAAGAAGCATAGATCGTGGATTTCGATCTGCTGGGCCACTCCTGTTCCTCTTTCTCTCTCGCATAAAGGGAAGAACAACAGAGCTTTAATTTTTTTTTATTTTTTTTTGGAGAGAGAAAGAGGAAGAAAAAAATAAATAAAAAGAAGAATTGGAGAGGAGAGAGATCCCAGATAAGAAATCTTCACACAAACAAACGACCTTCTAAGAACAGTGACATGAAATTTGTCAACATCCGGTCTCTTTTTATTCTCTGCTTTTTCTTCACTTCTCTCTCTTTTCCATTTCTATAAAAAAAATAATATATTTATTTCGGTCTTTTTGAGGATATCAAAACAAATGCCCATTTCTAGATTCTCTCCACCCTCCTGCTTTTTGGTACAGATGCATCAAATCAAACATTATTAAACGTAACGGAAAATGCCATTACACAACTTTTATTTAACAACAATAATTGACAATAATTATTAATAATACAAGCATTATAATTTATTAATGGATGTGTTGTTATTATCATATTATTATCTAACTCATAGTTAAAAAAGCATATCAACATTGCTAAGAAATGTAACGTGTAGTAAAATTTAAATTTATATATGATAAACTTTTGAACATGTATGTATAACTCCAACAGCAACTGGCACAACAAACTTGACTAATATTCAATATTTTCTAGGCTAGTTGTTAGGACTCTATAATGAGTTATTAATTAGCGTAATGATGTTCATTTGTTTAAAAAACTGTCATTCTAAGCAGTGTTTATTATAGGAAACAAGTGGGACCCTGTAAACTAGGGAAGAAAAAGATTAGGTTTTTTTTTGTTTTAAAAGGTTGTTTGATGCTGCTTAATGCAAATGCCCATTGGGGTTTTAATATTTACAAAAATGGGATTTTTATGCTTCTTTTCTTTCTACTTTGTGTTGTGTGTGGTTTTTGTTTTCACTTTGGGGTATTCCCTTGTTGATTGGTGGGAGGATCCTTTGGCTCAGTATCTTGTTCTTCTTCTATGAGTACTGTACCTCTTTATGGAAAAGAAAGAAATAGATGGTTGTTCCCTTATTGTATTGGAATCATCCTCTTAGACACGTGGCTGCTTTAACAGTGAACCATCTCCATCATCCACCAAATTACAACCCTAGTTGTTATGCTCAATTGTAATTTATTAGTACTTCTTTGATTTTAGTGAGAACAACTCTTTATTGGATCATATTTGAATCTTTAGTTTATGGGAAACTGAAAAGAAAAGAGATTGATTATAATGACATTTATGTCCAACCCATTGCCGCAATTACTATTGCATTGCTTTTCGTTGAGATGCCATCATCATCTCCTTCTTCCAATTTCTTATTCATTTTTATTCTATTCAATTTTATTATAATTTTTATTTTTTTAACTATATCAATTAAGTTTATAATAATTTTGAATTTACATTTTCTTTCATTATTTATATTTATACAAATTTGGTTCACTATGCAAAATACTTTAAATTCATTCAAATTATACTATGGACAAATCCAATATTTCCATCTACATAAATTGATAAATCCTTTCTCTTTTGTACTTTATATTGTGAATTATCAATTATCAAAGTTCTGTAAAAGATTTTGACTGAATTAATTTGTTACCAATATTAATGTCCATAGGTAATGAAGTGAAAGTCCAATTAATATTAAAGGTATAAATTTTTTCGGAGTTTTTTTTTTAATTAACTTTTAACTAATGAGAAATTAAATGTTATGAATTCATCACTTCTGGTTATATTTATTTACCATTTCTTTTAGGTAATTTAGTTGCAAGAAAGAAAAAAGATCATAGAGGAGTGGAAGAGAAAACATAAGTCAAACTTGCTTGAAATGTTCGGATAATATTTGAATTTGATTTTTGATAAAAATAACACAGGTTGAATGTTATTATGTTATCTATTTTTTTAATCAAGTTAAATATTTGAGACGAAATATTGAAATTCATAACGGATTATATTCATAAAAATATAACTTTTTACTATATTTAACTCTTTTGAATATAGTTTAAAAAGTTAAATAAAACTTTAAACTGATTTTTTTCTTTATATTTTATTTGAATATTCATATAAGTTATTCAGTATCTAAAATTTATTTGGATGAATTTATTCGTAAATTTCATTTATAAAAGAAAATAAAGAAAAATAAATTAAAGTTAGCTAATTTTTTATTTTACAATTACCTATAAACTAATTTTTTAATTTATAAAAAAAATATTTATTTTTTATAATACTTTACAAAAAAACTTGTCTAAATATATCCTTACGTTTAAAACAGTGAAATTATTTTAAACGAAATCTCTTCAATATGACATTTTTTTATTCAAATCTACAAATCAATGCAGGATTAAATAAAACATTTTTTTACGAAAAAATACGTGAATCTATTTCACAACTGTGAAATTAATTAATCCGTAATAAAAAAGTCTCTTTTTAATTTTAACTACAAATTATATATCATCGTACTTTTATATAGTTTTTTTTTTAAATTATACTAAAAAAATGTAACGTAATGCATCCATTTACAGGAGTGACCAAAGTTTCAAACTACTTTTTTTATTTTAATTTTTTATATATAAATTTATAGTTTGACAATATATTGCTATAATTTTAAAATTCATGCATAATTTGTATGAATGTAGATGAATCTAAAAGATAAAGAATATTATTTTAATAAGAACTCATTTAAATGTTATAAATATTCATATATTTTCAAAATACTTGCTTAATGACATTAATTGAAACTCAATCTAATTTGTTGTTCATTATTGGATTACAATGTTAAAAGAGAACATGTGATAGTTGTGTCAGATGATATTTTGTTTTGTACAACAGAAGCAGCAGTTATAATACCTTCTTTATTTAACAAGCAAAAAGCATTTATATACCCACAATAAACCCCTCTGACAACTCATGACATGTTTCAGAAATCAAACACATTTTTATGAAACACAATCTCCAAACCACCATTAATTATTCTCTCTTCGTAAAATGTTATAATATATTCTAAAAATATATTTTTTATTTAATATTCTAAAAATAAGTTCCACAACTAATTTATAATATATTTTTAGTTTGGTTATTGTGAAAATACATTTTAGATTAATTATTTTAAAATTTATTTATCTATTAATGTTTCTAATTTGAGAAATGCCATTTATTTTAATTTTTTTTTAATAATTGCTTATAAATATTTTAGTCTTGTTTTACCAATATAGACGGACAAAAAAATTGATTCATGAACATAGAGTTGTCGCTTTCAAACAATAACTTATATAAAACATTTTAAATATTAAATAACGCAAATTGTCGCTTATAAAGACATCGCATTATATATTAGTTCTGACATTTTTTTTATAATTACCAATAAAGACAAAATAAAATAAATAAAAAATATTAATACATCGTGTTGGTTTGTTGACACCTAGAAACATGGAATTTTTTTTCATGGAGATTAGTCTAAATTCGTCATAGCAAAGAATTTGTTACAATTCAAGTAACAGTTAAAATTCCATGTTAAATATAAATAGTAAAATTAAATAATATAATAAAAAATCAAAAATATAATATTTTAAAATTTTAAATTAAAAATTGAATCATATTTATATATATATATATATATATATATATATATATATATTTATATTATCTTATTTCGTTAAATCTATAAATAAAGTTAATCCTATTAGAATCTTACCGATATTAATAGGATGATCATTTTAGTTAAGTATAATATAAGAATTATTATTTATGCAAATCATGTTAAAGATAATAAAAGTCAGCATTAAAAATGTGTATCCCTAATAATGATATATTAAAAAAATTATAATAATTAAACAAAAAAACTTATCCAAATTTAATATAGAAAATTGACTTCTTGTGACACTTTTTAACTACTAGAAACTGAAAAAAAAATGAAAAATAATCTTATAAATATTTAAAATAATAAATTACTTTCGTACTCTTAAAAGTAAAACATAGCATTTTAATTAGTATTGAACTCATTATTAATGATAGAAGAAAAGATTAAATCGAGGTGGCATAAATAATGAAATTGGTGATGGACACTGATTCAAGCCATCACCATTCTCACCAACCACGATGCAGGGCTGAGATTCACCAACTTAATTGGTTAGTTTGATGTCCCCTTAAGTTGATTTAGACAAATTTAAATTTGGTTTAATTTTAAAAATGAGTTTGGTTGTGTCTTAAGTCATCTCAATTTTATTTTCTTTTTAAATATAGATTTTTTAACTATATAATATTCAAAAATAATTATTATTTAATTTTTTATGACATTATTTGTACGAATAAAAATTTATTAATTTTAAAAAACATATATTTATACAATATAGTTTAATTTATCAAATTTGATCTCTCTTGTTTTGGGTTTTGATGTGATTGAGTTTAGACTCAAATGATCCAATCAAATTTTTGAATCAAAACGACGATAATTTGGATCTTTTATTCACCTACTTTGAATATTCTTTTAACATTCCTCTGTAGGAAAATTTTTGAATATGGATATTGATAATGAGATACCTACAAAAATAATATTTCGATGCTAAATCAATTATAAGAAAAATATCTTGTACGCTAAATGAAGATACAATAATTATACTTTTCGTGAGATATTTGTCTAAAATAAATAAAACTTACTACTTCTAATATTTATAAGAACAACTCCCCAGTTAAATTAATATTAAGAAAAAAATAATAAATCCAATAAATAAATTGATACAAGTTGATATTTAATAAATATAAAACAAAAATATTACAACAAAAAAGTCAACCCATCAATAAAAAAGAGGTATTGTAACCATTTCATTGAGAGAGTTAGAGTAATCGTTGAGAACAATTAAGGCCCTATTGATGAAACAAAGATCAGGAACAGAACTGAGCAATGAAAGAAGGTGTTAAGTGTAATTGTAATCCATTAAACAGAAATCAAACCAAAAGAAAAAAATGCTTGAAAAAGTTTATAGTAGAATGAAGTCCTGTAACTTGAAGGATTAGGTATGAGTGAAGAAGAAAGAAAAATTAGGTA